CCTTCCGTATGCTGTTGATTTTTAGAAGATAAAAATGATGTATACAAGAATCACTTCAAAGTTTCTGCTAAACTTATAAAAGCTTGCAAAGAGATTCCAATCTCACTTAATTCATATAAAAGAATTAGTATTTTTCCATGGAATTTCATTTGACATTTAATTATTATAGGGTCAATGTCACTGTTTCCCATGTTATCTTAATTTTTAATGATGTGTTAATTATGTTTTTAAGTTTGACAAATTGGCTTGAGAATTTGTCTGGTGCAGAAATTGTCATATTTGGACAAGAGTATCACGCCATCCTCTGTCCATCTCCATATGTGGCCCCTGCTGCAGTCCATGTCTTTATCATTCTCCATTCAGACTTGTTTCTATGCAAGTCTTCACCATTGTATTTTATTTAGTTTAGTTCCAATTAATGTCAGCAACTGAAATGTTGATACATTTTTTATATTTAGGAACGTTTTGTTCATTTTGAGTTTGGAATCCCTCCATGTCCAAATGCAATAAGAGTCTGCATGCCACATTTTAGGGCTCAGGCTCCTCACCAAGTGTCTTTTCGGTGTGACATCAGTTTATGATAAAAGTCAGCTGACTATCATTAGAACTAATTCGATTCAGTGGTTTTAGGCCAGCTGGCTTGACTGCCTTGGTAAGAAAAAGCTCTGGGTGAAATCCACGTGTGTGGAGGTCCAAAATCCTTTATGCAGGCTCTACAGTTAGAAACAAACAACCATAAAGGACTACCAAAAGCTTCTAAAATGGAAAATGACAAACCATGAAACTGTTTTTAAAAACTGGCACCGTGGCCATCACTGACAGGGAAAAAAATGTTTTTGACATATTTAATATATGTTCTCTGCTGATTAAAAATGTAGTAAATATTTTGATTGAAAATATGATTTGAACATTGCAAAAATAGAGACTTAAATATAGCCTACTGAAAATGTGAATTTAATTATTATAATATAAAATGTCTGATTAGATGCCTAAATTAAATCCAGTTATTACCTAAAGAGTAGATTTTTAAAAAATAGTTTTAAGTGCCAAACATTTGAAATCTTTAACTTGTTAATAATAATGATAATAGTTTAACTTGTTCTTCATTATCAAAACATTCACGCAAACTTTATGGAAATGAGAATGATTAAGGACACAACTCACTCTTTAAAATACAAACTTTAACATTCTTTTATTGCATTTTCGGGGAACTTATTGAAGCTCAGAATCTCAAAACAAACAGAACATTTAATAATTATCATATTTCTATTCATAGTCAATTTATCCAACAACATTAGAGATGGTGAAGTTTTGCTGTGTTGCTGACATACATTTGTAAAAAGTGGACAATATTTGATTATCCTTTCCTGAAATTCTATTTAATTCTATTCAGTAGATGATCATTTCTTCTTCGTTCTTTTTTTCTGCTTTCACCTTATGTTGCTTTCCCCTCTTCCTTCAGTACAACCCATGTCCAAATATGAGTTACGGCAGTATCATATTTCAGTAAAATACTTTGACTTCCTGTTGTCCAACATGCACCAACGCTGGGGATTTTGAACATTATCTGAAGTCAGTTTATCAAGTTTTGGTGAAAATACTCAGCAGATAATCCTCACACTACAACTCATTTCTTAACTTCAAAGGCCGCCATAGAAAAGCTAAAGGAGGCAAAACAGAAGAACAGTCATCTCAAAAGTCAGCCTAGAAAACGACGGCTACTTTGTTGAAATTGCATTTCTTTTCAGGAACATAATCATACTTTGCTTTAGTTCTCTGGTTTTAAGTCCATATATAATTGGGTCCAAGAACGGAGGAAAAATTAAAATAGACACTCCAAAAGCCCTTCGCAGCATTGGGGACACATTCTGAAAGCGATGAGCGATGAGTGTAAAGACAGTGTTTACTTGTAAAAGTAGGAAAACAATTAAATGGCTTCCGCAGGTCTGAATGGCTTTTTTTCTGGCATCTGTATTATTTGTCATCACACATGTGCGTAAGATATGTGCGTAGGTGTACACTATTATCAACAGGGGCCCACCCATGATCACAATTATTGTTGCCATTCCATAAAAGTTATTCCCTCTGACGTCCTCACACACTAGTTTTAGTAATGAAGGATTGTTACAGTACAAGTCCACTATATTTGCCCTGCAAAACTTATAGCGGCCAAGCATCACAAACAACGTGAACATCATAGAGAAGTTAATCAGCCATATCAGAACAATGATTTTCATTAAGTTCGGCGTATTCATGATGGCATTATACTTCAGAGGAGAACAAATAGCGACATATCTGTCATACGCCATAGCACTCAGCACCAGTAAGTTTCCTGTACCGTAGAAATGGATGAAGAAAGCCTGAGTAATACAGGCAGGAGATGAAACCGTTCTGTCTTGAGTCACAATGCTGAAAATGAGGTGTGGGAAGAAAGCCGTTGCACCCATTATGTCACTAATGGGCAGGTTGAACAACAGGATGAACATAGGCTTATGCAGCTTTTTACTCACAGCAATAGTTGATAATACCAACAAATTGCAAAAGACAATGATTAAATAGATAAGTGTTCCAAACACAAATGCTGGATAGATATGAGTTGGTGGTAAGCCAAGACCTTCCAGCATTAGCCAATTCTGTACAGACAAATTTGCAAACATATCTACTCAATATTTATTATTCTGCCATGAAAAAATGAAAATGTTGATGCAAAAATGTTGCCAATGATGATGAGCCTCCACCTGGAAAGAAATTACAAATGAGCAGCTGTTATCAAATGAGCTGGCTAGCATTGATAAAAAAAACTGCTTGTCTCTTACCTACTGAAGAAGGCTATTTCATTCTCAGCCACTCTGTGTTGTGTTAAAACATTGTGTCTTTTATATGAGTCAAAGACGACCCATGAGACAACCTACTGTTGGCTCAATGTGCGAAACACTGAATATTCAACACATGCTCAACATTTACTGTGTTCATTTCATTATTAGGAATCTTAAAGTGATAGCTCTAGTTTTAATAAATTGGTGTATTTCAGATTAGTTCGTACATTCCCTGGATTCCACAGCACTCTCAGTTTAGAGAAGAAGGGTGGTGTTCTTATGGGATGGTGAATCTTGCAGTTGCTGAGAGCTGGGACAAAATCCAGGCCAAGAGTCTGCAATCACTCATTTTTACATGTCACATGGTGGATGTTTTGGGATTATATGGGATTAGTTTAGTCCACTGCAGGATATGCGTGCTTGCTGCCGTGACATGGATATAGTTTATCAACTTTTTTATCTTCATGATTTACTGCAATGTTGTAAGATGGTGGATCAGATTCTGAAAGAGGATTCAAAATGTGGCCAGCCATATTGGAGGATTTAATCCTCTGTTTGTGGGAATAGTGTAAAAAAAAGGTAACTTGCACAACTGGATTTAGGAGAGTGGAGATTTTACGTGTAAGTGTCAGAAACAGGGGAAATAAGCACTGTTGTTCCCAATAGTAAGATAATGCATTTTTCTCTGAAAAACTTATTACCCATCCATTCATTTTCTTTATCATGTCGAGGCTCATTTTGATGTACACTTAAACTCTTCAGTCAATCTTGATTTCTTTGGAAGGAAGCTGGAAATGGTTCTGTCTGTCCGTCCGTGCACAGATCAGATCAGGGGTCAGGTTCAGTTAATTATTCTGTCCACAAGTGTTTTGAGGGCTGGAATAATTCTTATTTTGTCGATCCATCATTCTTTAATTTTATTTTATAAATCAATCAATACATAATTACATAAAGATTCATTAAAAAAAAAAATCATGGCTTATACATATCTGAATTAAATGACTGGTTTTCTGTTAATCAGCCACTGATCACAAACTGCAGCCTATGAATAGTGAAAAGTACGTCAAACAGTGTGATAGAGCATTAGACAAAGTAAAAATATACTTTTTCATCATCATGTTTGCGGTGGATTTTAAAAGTGATTTATAATTTTGTTCAGTGTGTTTTCCCCAAATCTATCAGGACGGCTATGTCATAAAAGTGGACACAATTGTTTCTCCTTATAATCAACAGTTCTTTTCAAATCAGTTTAAATAAGAACAAAAACAAGTTTTCATCAGTTTTAAGAACTGAATTTGAGATATAATATGTTAAATCAGTAAATCAAATTAACATATCAAACCGTCTAGAACATGATGTAATTATTTCTGTGAAATGTTGTGTTTCATGTCTTTTTTAGTTAACCCAAACACAAAAAAACAGTGACTCACTCTTAATATCTTGAACTTTTTTTTTTACTGAACTACTTGCGTACATAGCATTAACTCAAATCCAGAATTAGCTTCACTGATAGGACACAAAACAGCTCTTTCACAACAGGGAAAAAAAGACCACACGGAATGACATGCCAAACTCATCTGAGTTAAAACTAATATGATTACAAAAAAGTTTGCTGTTCCTTACAGACTGTATCAGAGTGCTGCTGGTATTGGCGAATTGTTGCTGAAAAGATCATTTTTAGAACAATCCTGTGCTAAATTCATCGGGACACTCTGTTTTTAAAGATGCTTAGGAAATTGTTTCTTATTTCAGTCGTATATAACCCATACACAATTGGATTAAGAAGCGGAGGTACGAGAAATATTAACATGCCCATTATTTTTTGCAAGTCAGCTGAGACATTTTTAAACCTATGAGATAAAATTGTGAAAGTTCCCACAACCTCAAAAATAACTAGAATGAGCAACTGAGCAACACACGTGTTGACAGCCTTCGACTTTGCCTCGGATTTCCTCAAGCCCACACACGTGATCAGAATTTTGACATAGGAGAAGGCCTGAATGGACACGCTTAAAGCCTGCATCACGGCTGTGTTGAACAGTCCTATGATGTTGTTGACGGCTGTGTTTCCACACGTCAGCTTCAGGAGAGACGGATTATCACAGAACACGTTCATGATCACCGATCTGCACCTGGGGAGCCTTGTTTGTAAAGAGAACAGAGACAAAATCAAGACAAAGTCGAGACCCCAAACTAGACAGACAATGCAAATAACTGTTCTTAGAGTCATGATAGAGGTGTAACGTAAAGGCATACAGATGGCAACATAACGATCAAAGGACATTGCCGCCAGGATGAACAAAATTCCACCACCATACATGTGGAGCAGAAATGCTTGCAAAACACACAGATGATAGTTAACATTATGCGTCTCTGTGACAATATCTGAAAGTACTTTTGGTAGCATGGCAGTCATTCCTATCAGGTCGTTGAGGGGAAGACTAAACAGGATAAAGTACATGGGCCTGTGCAGGTTCCTCTTCAGAATGATCAGAGTCAACAGAGTCAGGTTGCAGGACATTCCTAAGAAATAGATAGCAATGCCAAATAGAAATATGGGGTACTTTCCTCCAGGTGGAATAGTAAATGGGTCCAAGTTTAATTGAAAACCGATTTCAACTGAGTTGTTCTCCATGTTCATTCACATGCATGAGAAATAAGTGAATTGTGATAATCCATCATCAGAGTGGGCAGCTGTCAGAGTTTAGAGTGAACATCGCTATCAGCAATGCTGCGTAACTCTGAAGAGAGCTGCCTGGACCTCTTTCCTTTATCACGTTTCGTACCCTTGCTTCCGTCATATTTTGCCTCTGGGATTATTAATGGCTTTGTCAAAACAAACAATGAGTGGTAACTCAAAATACAAAGATTTGAAATTTTGCCGGCAAATATGAATGAGTAGTTAGTGTATAGAGAAGTTATGAATGTCCATCAGAATGTTTTATGTCCACATATACAGTATGTGGATGTTCTATCAAACTGCATGACAGTTTTATTTATGCTGCACATTTAAATGCTTGTAAAACACAATACTCTCAACCTTTCTCACTTATGAGAGGATCAGAAATAGCGAAATTACCCAAGAAAAGAAAATATGGGTTTAGACATACTGTGGGAGTGTGACAACAGGATTGACTAGAACTTAACTAAAACTTACGATTCTTATGATTTTTCTTCTCCCACAGCAGTTGAACACAAAGATTTTGGTGACATTTTTGGACACCTAAAAGACCTGCTATTTTTGACCTGAGAGGAGGTGATTGTGGAATGGGACAGGTGTAGAAGACAGATGTGTAAGAAAACGGCATCATGGGAGGGTCAGAAAGAGAGGTTGAAAGTGAAGCTGAAAAAAGATAATCACAATGAGTCGCCAACCAAAACAAAAATCAAACCAAGCTCTTGCAACTATTTAATGTGAAAGTGTGACTTCAGCCCTGAATGTTGAGGTTCCTATGTGGTCAGGACATTCTAGGTTTGACTTATGAGTACTGTGTCTGCAAAAAACACAAAGGAAGGTATTCGGGTTGGTTTGAAATTGTACCAGGAAGCTGTCACAGATGTTATATTGCAAAACTATTGCTTAAAAATGTCTATGAGTTGGCAAGACTGGCTGGTTGGTGGTGTTATACTTTAAACAGGGAGAAGTTTCACGATAGTGATTAAAACACATGGTCTTGTTTACATGTGAATGAAAAATATGGAAAACTTTAAGTGGGCAAAAAAATAATCCATTTTATATTTGAACAAATAAATAGTTGCAGGTTTACCAACTGACAATTTTTGCATCTTTTTCAAGATGCAACTATGTTTTAGTCATTTGGATTTGCATTATTTTTAGACAGTTTTACTTTTTTACATCCAATTGATGAGCCAAATGAATATCAAGGTTTTTGAAAAGTTTGTAATTTGGCTAAATTTTATTTGTTGCACATTAAATCTGCTTTAACAGCCCACATGATGAAAATGGCTTCAAACTATTGAAATATTGCACAACTATACTGCAGTTATACTTTAAGAGAGACATTAAACAGCAGTTACATCAGCTAGATGCTCTCTCGTTTCTTTGTCAAAACACTTACATTAATGAGCTCCTTTGAGGTGTTATATGATTGTTATTAACAGTTTCGTAAGGTAATTAATCCCCAGACAATCTGTAAACCTCTGGTCGATAATGAATGCTGTTTCATAATGAGGGATGTGGCTCAATAACACTCATGGGAGACAACGTATGAGTCCACTGTTGACAGGTTATCAAGTGATGCCACAACTTGTAGGAAAAACTTTAAACTGTTCAGCTAAACTGTCCCCCCGTCAGTTTAATCGTCAGTAAACACAAAAACAACAAGTAATCGTCTGTAAAGTTTTTAACAGTGCTTTGACATGTAAAATCGTCTCGTCGTGTTATACAATGGAGCAGTGAAGAGGTCATATGAAATCCCTGGGCACAAAGACCTTTTCATTAGCACAAAAGGACAGTTAGGACATAAGGACACTAATGATCTCACCAGAGAGAAATGGACATGGTGAACCCTGAGGCTGAAACCATAATTGATTTGCTTCTGTAATCACTTAGTGTCTCATTCTTCAGTTCAGGATTTCGGTCAGGCCTCTGACAGGTTCTTGTGTTTTTCATGTAAAGTCCAAACATACTTATGCATCCTTAAATTACATAATTTATCTCACAGGCATATTTTAGGCCTGTTAGATTATGTCAATACCTCAAAATGTAGGGCACAGCGTTTTCAATAGACCCTCTCAGGTCTTTCTTAAAGAAAATTCCCAAAAACGGCTTGCTATTTCACCATTCATGGAACGTGAAGCTATTCCTCTCAGATTCCAGACAATGTTCGTTGAATCATCACTTGCCATTTTAAGCCTTTCGGGCCTGATGGTTTAAAGCCTATGAACTCAGTGCATGACGTTTTTTCTTAATCCCTCTACCACCTGCTCCAGCTTCTCCCTCTATGGATTTCAAACAATGAAGATGCGTGTGACAAAAAAAATTATCCATATGTGAAACTCATTTCACATTTCTCTGTTGTAAATTAATGCCTCTGACATCTTGAATTGAATTTGTTTTAGTACACAAATAAAATAGTTTTTGTGTACAACCCTTTTTGTTACTTTTGAGGATTCCTAAGCCCATACATCTGGGACTCTATAGGAGGCCAAACCCCTTGCACGTAAGGAATTGAGACTATGTACATTGTCATCACTGGTAGGATAAAAAGAAAGTAAGGTCAACAAGCTGATTCAAAATTCCCTCCTCCCCAGGAAAGGTATTTATCACAGCTCACAAACAGCAGTGTGGCAGTTTGTATAGATGTGTTTGTTGTATAGATGTTCAAAGAAAAAGGTAAGCACAATTTGGGATCCAATATTTTTAACTTAATTATCTTTATCTCTTTAATTGTGATAAACTTTTCAGTCATTACTTATACAACCAGATGTTCCTGATGCATCGATAAAATGAAATCTATGTATTTTTTGTCATTATTTAATTTTTTTTTCTCTTTCAGATTTTGCACCAAATGAAACACAATGGATAGAAACGCATCCGTTTTAAGTGACGTACTAGAGGTAGAAGGGTTTGACATATCTCCAGAGTACACTTATCCTCTGTTTTTCTTACTTCTGTTTGTTTACTCGTCTCTGCTCTTTTCGAACATCGGCGTTCTCATGCTCATCGTCACCGAGAAGAGTCTGCACCAGCCCATGTACTTCCTCTTCTGTAACCTGTCCGTGAACGACCTGATCGGTAACACGGTCCTGCTGCCCCGGCTGATGGCCCACATCATCACGACTGAACGTTTCGTCACCTACAACCAGTGCGTGGCTCAGGCGTTTCACAGCCACACGTTTGGGTCGGCTTCACACATGATTCTGATCATCATGGCCATTGACAGATACGTGGCCATTTGCCACCCGCTAAGATACAGCTCAATCATGACCACCAGGGCTGTGATTGGGCTCTCTGCCTCTGCGTGGGGGGTGTCCTTTGTGCTCGTGTCTGTCCTGATCGGACTTACGGTGAGGCTGTCTCGATGCAGATCGTTTATACAAAACGCTTACTGTGACAATGCCTCACTTTTCAAGCTTTCGTGCGATGATGTGTCCATTAACAACATTTATGGACTCTTTTTCACCGTGCTGCTGTTCACCTGCTCCATGGGAGGCATCGGGGTCACGTATATCAGGATAGCCCTCATATGCTGGATGAGAAAAAACAAAGAGCTGAACAACAGAGCTCTTCAGACCTGCACAAGCCACCTCGTTCTCTATCTCATCATGCTCTGGTCAGGGTTTTTAACCATCATACTGCATCGTTTCCCTAATTATCCAGATTTAAGGAAGATTGCGTACATTTTATTCCATGTTGTTCCTGCAAATTTGAATCCTATTATTTATGGAATGCAAACAAGGTCACTGCGGAATAAGATTATCAAAATGCTGCAGAGAAAGGTGACAGCATTTAAATAACTCTTAGCTTCTGTTTAAAAGAGCTTTTCAGCATTTCACATCAAGTCTTCTGAAAACAAGGATGCTTCATGTTTGCAGGCCCCCATTTTAGTTGAAACTCCGATTGAGTTTTAGTTTAAACTTCCATTTCTTTTAAAGTTTGTAAGTTAGAACTCGGCACAGTGGATCATCATCACCAGCATTGTGTGAATGAGTGGCTCTTTTGATTTCACCATCAAGTCCTCCAAAACCACTGATTTAAAGAAGCGACTGACCATCAATACTTTCCTTTTTGCAAAGCCATTAAAAGCATAATCAGCAGTGACATCAGATGAGATAAACATACACAATTAACAGTTCAAACAAGTATGTATGTGTTTTCATAGAGTTTAAAGGGTTATGGGGATCTCATCTAGTGTCTATTTCATTAAAAGTTAACAATGTGAAGGGTTAAATGGGAAGAAGTGATGTTTATTTTCTAATTTCAACAATCAAACATAACAGTGCAAGGTGGTCATTTTATGACCATCATCTTCCAGTTCTGAGTAATGAATAACAGGTAAATAAGTTCAAGTTTTTGTACTGATTGTACAGTAAACAGCCAAATTACTCAGTCCACACTCTGTAGGGAAGTCTGAAAACTTTTCTCATATCTGAATGATACATAAGTAAATTAATACTTGAGGTGAATTTTCTTTTTTAATAAAGACGTTATCACATCTCATTTCCATACACTTTCTTATCATTCTCTTTTTTATTAGACTTCAAAGAGTTGTTTTCTTAGATGGATGTGATTAGATTTATAAGTGCAAATAGATGTTTGTGTGCATTTGATTAATTATATTAAAGCAAACTGACAAGAGCCCTATCAGCATAAAAGTACAATGCTCAGTATAAGCGTTTAGACAGTTCCATTTACTTTTTCTTTTTACAAATGCTCTGTCTGATTTAGGTCACAGGGAGGCTGGAGCCTATCCCAAATATCATTAGACTTGAAGGGGGGTTCACTTTGGAGCAGTTATGAGCTCATCTCAGGATAAATAGCAAAATATATACATATAATTACATACTTTCACCACTAAACATCCTTAACTGTGCTGATACCATGATGGGAACGGCTATGCCAACAGACTATTAGTATTAGTATTATTGTCGATAACCAACATCTGTAAAACACAACATTAGTCTACTTGTTGATTAAATTAGACAATTTCAAAACAGATCATTTCTAACAGCTATGAATGTGAATGTCAAAATCTAAAGAATTTGAGTTTTTACAGTTAGATGACTTTGCCCATAATAAGAAGACTCATGAAAAACACCATGATGAAGAATATCCACATGAAGAAACGATCTAAAACTTTGGCCACCTTCTTCCATTCCCCAGTTCTTTTCTGTGTGGCCCTCTGGTCTTTGTAACAGTTGGCTATGTACTCGATGTTTCGCAGCAGCAGCTGCCCTTCATTGCTCTGAGTGCTGAATGAAATCTCCGCATCTTTTCCGTCTCCATCGCTCACTCCTCCCTTTCTGCATCTCTTTGAAGCTTCTGAATCCCCACACTCCATGCTCATGAACACACCATGCCTCCAGCTGGTGTACTGATTGGTCGGGTTCCTCCCGACTGAGCCCAAGGGACTCTTCATCGGATCCACTTCTTCTTTCTCCTCTGTGATGGTGGAACTCACTGTCTCCTGTCCTCTTTCCATTTTGAAGAAACCGTCCTCTCTGGCTTGTCCCGCTTGTCCATTCATGGCGCAGTTGGTGTTTTTCGGGGGGGGGGGGCTCCTGTTTCTCTGGCTGCGGTGACATGCAGTTTTCGCCCACTTCGTACACAAAGCATATCCTGGCCATGTACTGCAGGATGACCGTTTTGGCCCACTGGGGGACAGGCTTGGCATCTGGGCCGCAGTGGTGAATATTCATGATGAATATGGTCAGAGCGGTAGAAGCTGTGATCATGGTCATGGTTGCTATGTAATATTTCCCTATGGTAAAGAGAAAAGAAAATCACAGCAACGATTTAGTCGTCACACATACAGCGTACGTAATATATCACATGTTTTTAACCTCACCGATAAGTGGGACATTCTCAGAGGGTGGCATGATCTCCGCAACCAGTAACTGAAAGACGGTGAGGGCCAGCATCACAGTGACGCCCAAAGAAACCTTCTCTCCAGAATCTGCCGGCAGGTAGAAGCCCAACGGCGCCAAGAAAGAGATCATCACGCATGGTATGAGCAAGTTGAAAACATAGAAGGAAGCTCTCCTCTGGAGTTTCAGCGTGTAGGTGATATCCGGGTATGGGTCGGCACAACAGCCGTACACGATGATGTTCCTCTCAGCCGGCATGCCGAGCACCTCCCACTCCACATTTTCCACCAGGTCGGCCAGGTCAGCGCTGTCCATGGCATTCAGGATGTCCAGCTGATTTCCGTTGTAGGTCCAGGAGCCGTAGGTGAACCTGCATTGCTGACCGTCGAACGGGAAGAAAGACACGTCCACTTTGCAGGAGCTCTTGGTGATAGCGGGGGAATCCCACATCATCTGGCCATCGTGCCGGATTACCACATTGGTGTCCATAGGACCGGTGAAATGATTATCAGCACTGAAAAGCAAGCAAAAAATAATTGTATATATGTGTTTTATATTTCACATCCATAGCAAATAGATTAAAGAAACATTGAGCAACAGTTGTTTGTCAGATCTTGATATCATCTCATTGTTTTTTTTCTTTTTTGTGTTAGTGAACATGATATAATCCGAGACATCCTCAGGAAGTGACACCCTTTCTGAGGTGAAACTTCCTTGATTTTTCTCTGGATCATAATCACAAAAGAAATTCCATTTCATCCTAATAATTCCGTTGTTTCCAGATACACTGTTAAATTTACAATAACTGGGATAAGTTAGCGTACATTTAATGGTTTACCCATCAAAACGTCTTACCTACCTGTTATATAGAACTATATCAGGTCTCCATACGTAACTACCAGGTATGCGAATGGTATCTAGTCCATCATAATCTTCTTTCTTCCATTTGAGGTGAGCATCATACCAAACTTGCCGAATCCACAAATAAGCAGTCAAAATTTGGTTTCGCTCATCCTGTGACAGATTTGATAACAGTTAGAAAATGTTCTGACTTTATCTGTGTGGACGTTTTTCACACATATTGACGGTGGTGCATTACCATGTCGATTATCTGTGACAGAGTGACCTGAAGGGTTACATTCAGGATGGTGTTTGTGTCCTCCACAGGCCTCAGGGCACTGGTATAGTTGGCCATCAGATCAGTCAGGAGCCTCTGGGCGTACTTTGTATGAGCACACCGACAGGCTAGGGAAAGGAGACAAACAATACAATGCATTTAAAAACAGAGGGAATGCAATGTTATCTTCTTTTTCATTTCAGGAAAAAATTCTTCTACACAGTGTTATGTACAGCAGTTTGAAGGATGCTGCTGAGGTGGGAGGGGAGGGTACAGCATGTGACGCTAAATGTGAAAGCATGACAGATGGAGGGAGGGAGCAACGTGGATGTCAAACTACAATGTCCCTCTACAAAGCTTTAAAAGAGATCTGTCAAATCTAGTGTTTCATTCCAGCAGTGACCCTTTTGGCTGAGAAATTAGTTTTCATTGTTACACTGAACATGCTTTAGTCAAAACGCTTCAGACTGGATGACAGAATTAAACTGATATGTTCCACAGTGATGACTCACTGGTTTTACATTTGACACAGTACGATGACTTGTGCTTAGTGCAGGTCAGGTGTGGGCTGTAAGGATCCTTACCTCAAAATCATATTAGTTTGACTACGCTTATTTGAACAGCAAATGTTTAGACACTTTTTTTTCTGTAATTAAAAAGTAAATAAAGATTTTAATCATTTCCAGACACCCTGGCAATTGAGTAACTTGCCATGCTTTTATAGTACTGCATTGTTATAGCATAAAGGATGAAAAAAAAGGAAAAAAAACACAGCTGGAATTGGAACCAGGAGCCCTGTGGGTGCCACCAGTCACCAACAGGTCACCACCACAATGCCAGATGTATAGACCGCTTCTAAATTGGAAACGCGTACATAATTCCCACTCTGGCCTCAACAGTGGATCTGAGCAGACCAGATGTTGAGGCAGCATCAGCGTTTGAATAAATCTTTTGAGAGAGACAGAACACACAGGATTATGATGGACGCACAATCCTGTAACAACTGTCACAAGTTTGAGGATTCTGGGTTAGAGCTTGCATGGGTAACAGGGGATATCTGAGGAATGCTGTGTATTTTGTTTAAAAAAAAACAAAGACTAATCAAGCAATACAGATACTTTCAAATATGATGAGTCTTATCTGGAGTTGAAAAACAAACTCATACTTTTTGCACCTATTTTGTGTCTTAGGAAATCGAGTGCCTGTCAAACCAATTTTAACAGAAAATAAAATTAATCCAAACTTACTTGGCATGACAATGACGAACAGAAATAAGAGAAATAAAGTTAGTCTTCTCCATGGTTTCATTGTGCCAAAGCAAATTATTTAGATCCAGAGACCATTGAAGTGTCTCCTCGTCAGACTTCTGTCATCAATGGGAACAATAACCATACGGGGGAATTCAGATGTGTTGTCCTGCAGATGTCTGAGACAACTGCATAAATCCGTCCATCCAGAGAGGCGGAGGCAGAGGATCTGAATCAGCTGCATGTTGGACTCATGCACGCATGCTTTTGCGCAAACAGTGCAGTGAGATTAAAAAAAACGGAAAGAAGAATAATGCTGAACATAAAAAATAAAAATAAAGTATAAACTGTTTGCTGCTGTTTAGCACCACGGACAGCGCCAGGCGGGCAAAATCTAAACCGACTTTGCGCTCTTTCCTCACATTTTTTGCGCATTTCGCCAGCAAACGAACCATTTTCCACACCGGTGCTCCGTGTGGTGTGTGCATTATTTTGACAGGACACGCCACCTAAACGTGCAAAATTCTCCTCATCCCGTCTTCCGGGTGCTGGTGCCCCCCCCCCCCTCGCTTCTCCTCCCTGTATCTTTAGCGAAAGGAAGAACCGTTGCATCCGCAGGCCGAGCATCATCCGTGGGGACGCGAAAACGTGAACACATCGTGCATCTGATATAAGATATTTTAGGAGGTCGGATAATCTTTTTACTGCCTTGACGGAATCTGGAACATCCAGATGCAAAGAATGCTCATTTTAAGGCAAAACGAGCAGCTGACGTCGATTGTTGCTTAAGTGGGAGGAGGTAGGTTGATATCAGAACGCACATGTTTAGTGAATGCACGAAAATGTCAAATGAATTCATATAGATCAGAAGGACTGATGAAAAGTCACTGGGAGAATGAAATGCTCTTGTATTCTGGCTTCATAGACTCATGAGCTTGTAATAAAGAGGTAATGCGATACAATGTGTTCTGCTGTTTCCAGGGAAAAGATGCTGCAAGGTTCAAATATTGTGGGGCATGAGAGGCCTCTGGTCATCAGGATGTCCTTCAGCACCTGCGTGCTGTGGACGGTGTGCCTGCCGCTGCTCGGACTGATATCTTGTGTGCTCATATCCTCTGTTTTTCATTTTGACGATGCCACTGGCACACATTGCCAGGTAGGCTACTGTCCAGGGTTTCCCAACACAGCCGACCATGTTTTGTCTGTAAATAACTCTTTGTTTTCTTACCTTAACCGCTTTTGAGGAGTTCACACGTACCCTCTTTTGTTGTAATCCTCCTATATTTAATATTTTAATTTGAAACTAAAACTATATCTCCACTCTTTGTTTCCAGGTTCCTAACTACCTGCCATCTATTAGTGCCTCGATAAGCCTCAGTCCTGAGTGCTACATATGGCGGTTTTGTATTGGACTGCACTCCGCACCGAGGCTTCTGGTGGCCTTTACCTACTTCAGGTTTTACAAGTCACGCTTTGCCGCCAGGTTTCCTGAAAGCCCGCTCAGCTGCTTGAGCTTTGCCTTTTCTATCTCTGAGAACCTCGGCCTCTTGCTCCTCACATATGTGTCATCGAGTGAAACATACTGTAAGTAGACCATATGCTCCTCTATGTAGTCAGATTTTTCCTCACATCTTCATCATTGAGTTTTTTATGTCTTCTAAAATGTTCACATTGGCTTCAAACCATACCTTTCTTTATTTCCTTTGTTATTTAAGCTTCTTAAAAAACATATACATATAAAAATGCAAAATGTCTCTAAGATGTATCTACATTTTGTCCCTTAGTTGTGCATAAAGAAGGTTTTGTCCTCTTCCTTGTGAGTTCCATTATCCACATGCTGATAACCTGCCGTTTGTGGAAGTCTATTAAGAAGTATTCCTTAAATCCCGAGGTAAGAAATAACACATTCGGAACCTCAGAGAGCAAAATCCATCATTTTAGATGCATGCTTTAAATGATTTCCTCTGATATTATCTCCCTCTTAAAGGATGCCAAATCCCACCACTGGAAAGTACGTTTCTTACTTCTCAACGTTTCCTTCTGCGCGTTTGCCGGATTCTTTTACTGGAAGCACAACGTGTACTGTGAATCAGGAAGTAAGTGCTCAACAGTCCTCATATAAGACATGTGAACTGTGATTTGAAATGCAAAACATATTAGTTCCAAACACAAACACATCAATGTGTAGAGATGGTCCAAAAATGATACATATGTGCTGTAGCTGGGGTGTAACTTTGCAGGATGTAAAAACTGGACCTTAAAAACTGTGTTTTTCGCCTCCTTTTTGGTACGTTTTAAAGAACAATTCTGCATCTGTTTGATGAATATGTGGCTCTGTCTTCTGGTTCAAATCTTAATTGGTTAAAAACATACACCCGTATTCAAAGGCTAAACACCAAAGCTGATGCCCCAAGTCACAACCGTAGTAGATTCACCTCTGTGGTCATTTAGTGGTCATTTAGTTGGGAAACAGTAAGGCTAAGTGCTTTTCTACTGTGCAACCTCCATCCACAAACAAACACAGTGAAAAATAATAATGAAGGCACACAAAGAGAAACATGCCAAATAGCTTGAATGAAAACAAGCAGAGCAAAAGGTAGAACTACTGCAGGGGGCAAGTGGAAGCATTAACTCGGCTAAACACATGATTTCTTAAAATTGTTCAGCATTAAACTATATCCTCGATCTAGATTTGAATGAAAAAGCATGCATATTTAAAGGAAATTACAGATGACATCATAAAGGTTTAAAATGTTGATTTATGACAACTTGCAGGTTTTCAAAGGTACAGTTATGTATATACTTAGAAATGTTAGTGATATTTAATGAAAATCCTCATTTCATTAATCCATGCTTTTCCCATTGATAGGTTATACATTCTTTGCCTTGTTTGAGTATCTGGTGGTGTTCTCCAACATGGCCTTTCATCTGACAGCCATCTGGGACTTTAAGAGCAGAGAGGTCATGGTCATTTCATCCTCTGAGGATAAAGATTTCTGACTAGAAACACAAGGACTGAGCACAAAAAGCGTGGCCACGACACCATCTGATGAAAACAATGATGAGGCAGCTGAAGAGGGAGATTGGGACGAAGGCCTTTTTCACATATTTCCATGACGGAAACTTACAAGTTTTTGGGGGTATAGATGTCTGTCAACTACAAACAAACACCACACAGAAAATGTGTAAGGTGAAAGTACAGTTTCTGCCTCAGTGTCTCATTCACGGATGCCTTCACCTTACGTGTTATGTGATGTGAAGTTTTAAATTTTGTACATATCACATTGAATGTCTTGCATTTGACAGTAAATGTGTTTGCCAAAATAAAGTGCAAGTACTTCACACAAATTTTCATTCTTTACTCTTAACATCAGCCGGCTGGGGCATTATATGGGGCAAATATGTCCACTGTGTGTGAGCGAGGATGGTTGTTGGTCTCCGTGTAGCCCTGAGACGGCCTGCCTACCTAATCTAGGTATACCCTGCCCCTAATTTTCTCAACTTTCATTAATAATTCTTGTTTTACATATAAGCAATCAAAAACATTTAGAATGTTTTAACACAACATGAAAAAAACTAAAAATTACAAAACTATAACAACCACTTTTCCCATAAAATGTTTGATTCCATAATTGTAGGCAAAGGGTAGATGTCACAGATTAAATGTTTTTAGTCACTTTTAATTTTTGGTTAAAAAAATTCAAAATGTTTATAAAAAGGAAAAAAAAGAAAATAATTTTGACTTGATCAGTCGGATGAAAGTTTAAATCTTTTACCTCTGACCAAAACGAGCTTGCAATTACTTTGTATCGCCGCTAGGTGTCTCACTTCAGCGACGTGATGTGCAGTTCATGTCATTCAAACTCCAGCCGCTAGGGGGCAGCATTTACCACCATTATACTGTAAATTCCTTCAGAACAAGTCAAGCTCGCTGCGGCTTTTTCGGTTGAGTCTTAGTCGGAGGAAGAGCAATACCTCAAACAGGAGGTGGAGTTCGTTGTGCTTCAACTCCGCGGGACCAGACATCTACCACGATGTTAACCCAGAGCTGAAACTACAAATTTACTTGATCTGATACATGACAGGTAACTTTTATTTCTATTAAAAGGACGTCATATTGACTCGGTTGTAACATTACCAGTTAGCCGAGCTGAAACTACAACCACTCCTCGGTAACGTTTGTGGGTAGCTAAGCGCCAGCGGTGGCTAGTGTGTGTCTACAGATACTGCACCATGTCGACACAGGCACGAATTGTCCAAATAAACACTAAAACAGTGATGTAATGGTTTAAGTTGTCTGGAGACTGACATTTTGGTGGCAGTTTTTGCTACATATGTTAAGTTAGACTAGCTGTTTAGCTAGCTAGCTTGTCAGGCACGCAACCGAGTCACGCAGTCGGATCAGACTGCTGTCATTTTTCGGGATCCTATTGTTTTTTTTCTCCCAAAGTGACATCTGTTCTGAAGCACGCGATGGACAGCTTAAATACACAACTCCACAGACCAAGTGGGAATTGAAGGACTTCCTTATCAAAAGCCTGACATTATCCAGCTAACGACACGGTGCGGCTGTTCATTCAGGAAGAGGTGGCTCTCTTCAGAAGTGATCTTTACATAACTGGAGATATTTGAAACGCTGCTCTGTGACTAATAGCGTTATTGTCCTTCATTTTTCATTCGCTCTTATCGCAGCATCAAAACTTGTCTGCTGTATTGCATTTATATCCGGTCAAAAACTTTGAAGGGGTGGAATTCTGTATAAAGCTCATCAGATATTTGCACTGCAGTCATTTCCCCCCTGGAGACATGCTGTAATATGCAAAGAGTTATGAATTAGTTTGTAAGCAGACTAGAAGTGCTGACACATTACTGACCATACTCATAATAATAAAACAACAGAAAAATACTGAAATCGTCATGCAGTGGTAGTACCACTGGTGTGTTTGAGTTACTGGGTCACAGCTGTTAATGGGGATTATTTTCCCTGGGAAACATGTAATATTTGTTCCAAAAGATCAAGCAATAAGTTAATTATTAACTAGTTCTGAAAGAGAGGCACATTTGCTCTGTCTCATATTCTGAATGACTCTCTTGTTTCCAGCTCACAACAGTCATGGAGCTCCACAAATCTGTGACCTTGTGGATATTTTGTTTGTGCCTCGTTGGAGAGAGTACGACGGAGAAACAAGGTCCAGCCGCATCAGAGAGTCAGACTGTTGAAAACAGCGTGTCAGGTGAGTGATCAGACACCCTCTTAGTCTGCTATAGTACTGACCCACACTATAGTATCACAGTTCATGCCGCATCTTTGTGATTGTGCAGGCACTAAATGTAGCCGTGCTGAGAATAGTACGGCTGGCATTTGGTCATTATATCCTGTCTGCCAACTTCAAGCCACCTATTCAGAGTGATGATAATTAAGCATTAGACTTAATGACCGTTGTTTTAAAAAAGTTACTGGATCTGATTGTAAATTAAGGATGCTCCGGTATGTAGAATAATTACAATTGAGCTTTATTTGTAATTTGTGCTGTTTTTGTGATGGTTTCTTGTCTCAATCTGGGAAGTAACTTTATGGGTGTGACGAGAAGTTTTACCAGTTAAGCAGCTTATAACTCAGGATCTTTAAAGTGCTCTGATGTAACAACTCCTAACTTTTTGCTAAATAGTAGCTGTCACAAGAACATTTGGATTAATGTAACTTCCTGCGTTTGTTTCACAGCCCGCTAGCCTGAGTTCTTTTTTAAAATTTGGTATTTGGAAATGCTAAGCCGATGCCTAAGTCACTCACAGACATAGGATATGCTGCTGCGTGCAGTCTCAATAGGATCTGTTTTTCACACAATGGTGTGTTCAAACTCGATGGGTTTCCTGAATGGCGATAGGAGATAGTAACTGTTGCAGTTCGGAGGTGGCAAAGTTCTGGAGTGAATCGTCATCTACGTGCAGGCGCACAGAATGGCTTATGTAACTTGAGCTCTTAAAAAAAAAAAAATCCAGCTGACTGGTATGTAAATATCTCATGTCTCCGGAGGTTTGCAAGCCAAATGAGAAAAATGCCCAGGTATGCTGTTTTAAAAACAGTCACAGGTGGGAGACTTTTTACTGACTGCCACTCTTTGTTTAACACAGAGAATGAGTAAGGTGTTGCTTTTCCGGTATGTGGCTGAGCAGGTTTAAAAAGGGTGAAAGGGTTGCATGCTGTGGCTCAAAAATTAACTTTTCACTATGAGGAAGTTCATTGTGCGCGTCCAGCCTTCCTGGTTTTAGTGGTTTCACATACGGCCCAGTTGGCCATCTCTGAAAAGTTTCAATACATAGCTTAATGAAAACTGCAAAGGTTTCAGATATAATCAGTGACATACTTGACTCTGTTTTGTCTCTCTAACCACTAAGCCTACTTGTCAAAACATTTTGCTCTGGCAATGTATTTGAAAAAAAAAAGTGGGTTTTGTACAAGCTCATCAGTGGGAGGAAGCATTCGGCTGTAATTTCCAGCTCAGTACAAACCAAATGCCTTCAATTTATTATACACAATTATGTTGGTGGTCGTGACCAATAAAGTAGCAGCATCAGTGAGTTTTGTGGACTAGGGTATGATCGTTTGTGAAAAGGGAAGTGAGGGTACGTTTGAACACGGCTGCAACATGTTGTTGCAAAATGGTAGAAGCAACGCGGCAGTGGCTGCCTGGTAGGCTCTGGCCCCGGGCTTTGATCCGCACCACGCTGAGCCAGAGCGAGGCGTTTATCTTATCACACTGGTGTCGTGCTACTTACACGTCAACACACATCTACCCTCCATCAGGCTGTTGAAAACCCCAGGTTGAGACCAGTGTTTTGGGCTGGTGGGGAAGGCTACAGTCCTCATTAACCCTGGCCTTCACCTTCCTCTTTTTGGAGTCGAGTGCTGTAAAATGCACAAGTCACGCTGCATTTGATATGTTTCTTATGGGCTTTTAGGAAAAGCTTTGAGGATGGACTTTATATGTATGAAGCTGTGCAAAACCATAGGCTCTCTAAGTAAGGTTACATTACATGTAAATTAAACATATTCTCATATCCATGTCATGCCTTTTGACAGGACCGCTAAGTGTCTGTAGTACATGCCAAACATGGTTTCCTCTTGATGGGGGTGGTAGAGTTATCTGTGATCTATGGACGAGGAGTCACATCCCTCAGGAAGTACAGCAAAGAAAGGACAGTGGGTAGATGGACATTATTGAAAGACTTTCAGTTTGGAATGATCTACTCGGTCACAATTTTGCATTTAATAAAAAAACAAACACTTTTTGTTACATGAAGATTTTTGTTTTCCAAACAGAGGATAGATATATTAAATTGAGGATCTAGTGGGCCTAAGACATGATATGCTTTTAGTCCACACTGAGTCTGGCAGTCTTAAGCTCACATTTTTCAGATGCAGTCAGACAATGCTGGGAGTCTTGGTAACATTGGGACTTTGAGGAAAAAGCCTTATGTAAACAGCACTTTCTCTGTGGCCAAGGAATTTTGCAGTTCAGTTGTTTCAGCAGGACAGAGAGGTTTAGAGAGGGCGGCTGCACGGAGGGCAACTCTCACTGAGAGGGGATTAGAAGTACCCAGCATTTGTGGCAGCGCAGCATTGGTTCCAGTTAGTTTTTTGGATTATGAGCACAATAACGAGACACGTTATGTTTTTTGTGTTGTAAAACATTATCAAACATTATCTTGTAGAACAGCATTTCGATTTAGCCCCAGTGGTTGTATGCCGATCACTTAGTTGCTTCTTAACAGTTTCCTGATGTTTTATTTCGTCTGCAGATTTTTGTCGCATCGATGAACCACTCTGCAAGGACGAGAACGCCATTCTCAGCTTTGAGGCTATCCGCAGCATCCACAAGCGGATGGACGATGACGAAAATGGCAACGTAGACGTTTTAGAGACCGACGGGGTAAGTACCAGCCCAAAAAGGAGAAACGGGGGCTGATGATCCTCTGAAGGCACACGTTCGGGTTCTGGTTCTGCAGCGTCTAAGGGCGCCCTTGTTCAGTTTGCTGAATCGTCCTCATTATGAGGAATTGCAATAACGAGCGGTCTGTGAGAGGGAATTTAGGATGTGGGATTTACTGTTCGTACTCCAGCACTCCTTTTGTTGGGGCTGTTGGCTCTATTATAAAAGAGTTTTCTGGATATCCATTTAACTTCTGGTTATATTCCCTGGCATTTTGTTTTGGCTTGATGAAAGAGGGCGAGATCATCTGTGCAGCTGCTCAGCTTTGTATGGAAACTGCTGGTTTAAGAACTCCTTTAAGGAAAAAAGAGTGCTATGATGAGCACTCATTAAAAGATGCAATGTTGAGCTGGGAGATGGCTAAAAATGACACTTTTTCGTACTTTGAATGAAAGTGTTCCTGTTTCCCGTTACTACACTGTAATTGGATAAAGAGGAGAGTTGATTTTGTTATGGCCAAGATCAAAGCTCGCGTCTGGCTTCAAGAATTAGCCTCGGATCCCAGTTGCATGATATAGATCTTGCTCATTTTTCAGTGACTTAATTTTCCTGAGTCAAACATTTCTGCCAGAAGCACCGCGGATCTCTCCACGCTGTAGTGAAATCCACCTCCAACACTGCCTTTTCCCCATGATGGCTCTAGTGGGAGTGTGTGCTACATGTGTGGTGAGACAATAAAGTAGGTGACAGCTAGATTCTAATAGGAACACCACAGTCCACCATACATTTAGCTTTTGAGGTTATTTTCTAACTTTTAGATGGATACTAGAAAAAAGGGGTTACTTTGAATTGTGCTGTCTTAAACGGCAGAAACTCTCCAGTATTCACTGCAAATGGGTCATACAAGTGCAGAGCGACCTGAACAAATTGAAAGATTAGGGCCGGAACACAGTGCATGACACAATTAAGTAATTTATGTACAATCTTGTTCTGCAGCCTGTGCAACTGTAGGTAGTTCATTTGAAAAGGAACTGCCTACAGTTGGAAGGAGAGTAATTCTCCTGTTTCATCTATGAACGCATTCTTAGATTTTAGTGGTGCGAAAACCACAGCTGCATTTTGTATTATTCTAATTTATTTATTTTGTAATTATAGCCCGTTGAACTGTTTTATTTAAATTGCATGAAACATTCTGCTATTTTTTTATGGTTTTTATGGTGACTTTGCTAAATGATTCGATTATTTTTGTGGCTGTTGTAATGGTGGAGGGGAGGTTACCCGTGTAGGTACAAACCTTCAAAAAAACAAATTTTTCATCTTTATTGATTTAGTTTCACTTGATAACAAATGTATATGTAAAAGAAAGGCTACAGGTGTCGGTCATAAGACTGATTAATTCTGGTGGGTTTCATCATATTACTGTTAGAGAACACAAGTGGCGCTAAGTGTGAAAACTGTGCTGCTCTAGACTGTTAAACAGGTGAAACACCAGTTTTTTAACTGCGTTAAGAAATAGTTTGTTTTAACTGATCTTTTATGAGGGTCAAAACGACCACGATGGTGAAACAGGTCAAAGTGCTCAAAACCAGTTCTTAAGTCTGTGTAGAAATGTCAGCACCACATGTCAATGACCCCAACTCGGATTACGGTCAGGTTTAAAAAAAATACAAGTCAGCTTTTTAACTTTTGCGAAACGTTTCGTTTGGTGGTTGATTCATAGTTTTAGCCAAACTAAACACAATTGAGTTTTTGGGCGCGATTTGGGCCGTGGTCATGTCACTTTAGCATTCTGCAAGATTGTTTTTATTTTTTAAAGCAAATGTCCAAATATATTTGTCATCCTGCAGTTCCTCAGAGAGGACCTTAAGTATCATGACCCCAAAGCCAAGCACAGCAGTTTCCATGGCGATGACCAGTTCATCAGTGTGGAGGACTTGTGGAACGCATGGAAGGGTTCAGAAGGTACTTTGAAGCTCCAACTGAATCTCTCTCTCTCTCTCTCTCTCTCTCTCTCTCTCTCACACTTTCTTCTGAGTCTTAAGTCATTCTCAACGTGGTTGCCTTTTTAATACTGAAATTGCTCTGACATTTTATTTTTGATGAGAGGCTCTGCGTTTCACCAGGCACGGGAGGGCCTTTAATCTGCTGGTGGCTTTTAAGCACCTGATCACCACCAATAGCAGTGGAAATGAAAGGGCCGCTGTCAGCTAAGGAATATAAATCCTATTGCTTTTGTTGCCAAGTATTTTGGTTGAGTTTGTGGCAAATTTTAGCCTGAATCGCATCCTTCTGATAGTGATGTGCAACATGTTTTTTTAGCACGTAAAATATCCAAATTTAACTGAATTATTTGACTGAAAGTGGGGCTTTGCCCTGCTTAACCATCTCACTATCCTGATAAAGCAGCAAGGCAACTGATTTGCCTGTGTGTTTGTCCAAGTCTTCTTATCAGCTGCAGATAGCAGCAAAGTGGACATCAATGAATATGTCAGCACAAAATCCACATTCACTCTGCCCTCGTCCTGACGGGGTGTGTGGCAGGCCTGTCCTCTAACCAGAGAGCTGTGCCTCAACTGGCACTCCTGTCTTTTCACACCCTTTCCTTTTGGGTTTTTTTTTTCCGCGCCCTCTTTACTCATAGTGCTGGCTGACTCTGCATTGCAGGTTCTTGACAAAGCCCTGGAGGTTCTGAGCCAAGAGCAACATGTGAAAACAGACAACCCACATTTTTTAGTCTTTGCCAGGAGCTGGGAGCAAAAATGCCTTCTTTATTAATTATGTTGGGCAGACCAGTAAACACTAGTATGGAGGCTGTCTTAGCCTATGTAGGGTATGGTTTTGTAGTCAGTTGTGCAGACTTTGTTAACCTATTAATTAATGTTATATTAGCTTTTGTTGAAATATTCAGCATTGTTTGTTGAATCAAGTGAAGATTCCGTTGGATCTGCTCATCTTATCGCTATTTATGTGAATTTACATTTCTAGCGTACATATTAAGAATATTCAAATCCTGTACCCTTCATTGTATTGACCAAAACTCTTCTTCAACAGCAACTTCAACAGTTGGAGTAATCGGAAACTTAACTATCTTTTTTATTTTTGCTCTTTTTGTTTACCAGTGTTTAACTGGACAGTGGACGAGGTGGTTACGTGGCTCATCACCTATGTTGAGCTTCCACAATATGTGGATGCATTTCGCAAGATGAATTTCAATGGAAGTGCATTGCCGAGGTAAGAGTGCTCATGTCATATTTCCACAACACCAGCCTGCTGTCAATCAGATCAGTGAAAAATATCTTCTAATGAGAGACAACTTCCATCTTTCCAAAAGAGGATAGTTTATTTCACTTAACCCGGTTGAAAATTAAATGCATTGCGCTGGAGTTGCAGAAGAAAAAACGTCAAAAATTATTAATTAGGTTGAACTTGGTAGCCTCAGTAATTATAAGTAATTTAAATACAGCTCATCTCCCTCTTTGCCTAAATCATGCTAATCCTTATTTCAATTACCATGAAACAGTTCCCCCTCCTGTTTTATTAAATCCTAATAGGGGTATTTAAAAATCATTACTGCATCAAGAATGATCGATTGGCTTGGGAAGCCTGGTGAAGGGGTCCCTTTACACCGAGCTCAAAATGTATTACCCACTGTGTATTTCTTCCTACATCCTGTAAGATGAACATGTGTCTGCTCTTGCTCAGGCTTGCTTTAAAGAACACCACTTTGACGCTCTCTATTCTGAAGATTTTGGATCGCAGCCATGTGCAGAAGTTACAGCTCAAGTCTATGGACACGGTGCTTTTTGGAGCACCCCTGAGTAAGTAAATGTATTTATTTATTTTCAATAAGTGCTGCAGTTCTTTGTGCTATCCGAGCCATGGAACGAGAATGGTGAAGTTAAACTCCACCTTCTCTCTGAGTGTGGGAATGACATGTTGCACAACATCATAGTAGGTTGATGTCATTTCTTTTGCTGACAGATTGAAGTACTTTATTGTTCCCTTGATGTGTTTTCCATATTTTTCCTGTTGCAGCTGTTTTAGTAAGATACTGATCCAGACCCACGTGTTTTTTATTTATGTATTTTTATTCTTTTTATTGCTGACCAACTGCAAGTTGTATCATTTGCTCTGGAACAGTTGATTAGTTAACATAATCAACTCTGGGTTGTGTTCACTTTGAGATAAACGACTGTGAATGAAAAACTCATGTATTTTATCTGGTGAGATTCAGCATTGAGAGAAACTCTTTATTTTTGCCGTATTGAACTAATTTGAATTGATGTTAATTTACACGAGAGTTCAAGACAATTGTTCGTCTTTGTTTCTGCAGCAGAGACTGATGAAACTTGCAGAGCAGTACAGTAAAATATTTCTTGCAATTTCCATTTCGGGAAGCATCCATCTTAAGACTTTTGTTTTACTCTTTGAATTAGATTTAGTTTTGGTTAGATTGTTGGTTTAGATTGGTTAAATCATAAAAACCTACCAAAGTTTGCAGCCATAATTCTTATATATATAAAAAGTGCATAAGTATGCATCATGTAGGGTGTGCTGAGGGAAATACGTGTAATGTTAGACTGAGACTAAAGTTACATTGTCTTTGTCTTTACATGTGTCACTAACAATAAAAGTGACAGTGGAAACAAAAGCACTGCTCACTCTGACATGTTCCAACGGCTCTGTTGGAAGACACAGATACACTCCTCATCAGAGGGGCTACAAACAAACCTGTAAGCCCAAAAATAAGTACTGTGAAACATCTGCAGCTGACAGCTGCCGCCACAGTTTTCACTGTTGGTAAGCTCTTGTCCCTTTGCCTTTTCATCTAGTCACTAGTTCATCTTCAAAGTGTTCAAAATCAAGCCGACACGCCCGGTATCCATTTCTTGCTTTAAAGAAGTGAGTTATGGTTGAACCACACTGCTCTGTATTCAAGACTCATCCCGTTGCGTACTGAGATAAACAAACCCTCCACTCATCCTGTTTCCCTCTGCCTCTCCAGTATCACTGCTCCAATTTCTGCATTCATGGGAAGAAATCACTCAAACATGTTCATAAACCATCTTGTTGTTGGGGGTCTGTTAGCTGCGATGCATGAATCTTTTGAGGATTTGAGGCTTTTTTTCCTGTATATTATCCACATTTATTTTGAAGTACATTTATGAAAATGCTGTCAGATTTGGTATAATATTATATATATTTTTTAATCCTGTAATTCTGTAGCTATCTGCATATTATGTAATTACATTTTGCACCAGCAGATCTTTGATCTTAGATGTAAAGAATATTGTAGTTCTAGGAAAATGTTATTGCTTCCTTGTGGGTTCACTGTGAATGCAGGGAAAGCTTTAATATTTGGAAAAGAGCTCATCTTGTCATAAATGAAGCAAAATGGATGAAAGCGTTTCATTTGCATTGCTGAGAGACTACCCGGCGTGCAGCGTCTGTGTCTGGCACATGTAATTATGCTTGTGTTTTGTTCCTCACACCAAGATGAAAGACATTAGCAAGGACTCTCTGGCTTTGACAGCCTCTCAAAGGGAGGGGTTACAGCTAATAGTCAGAATGACCGCCTGACTGTATAGAGCAACAGCATTTTAAGGCACTCGTCACAATAGGTTAAGCTGAAAATAGCAGACACTTGTGTAATTATTAACCCAAACAGACTGGGATCCGGTTCTTTCCAGATGAGTTGCTCATTAAATGTCACTTGTGTTCTATTGATAAATATTCTCCTGGGACTCATTGTTAGTCCCATTTAGTTAGTTAGTCACATTTAGTAGTAAATTATTTTGAGTCCAGTGATGAATTTTTTGAGGAGCAACATTCTCTGCCAAGGCCAATGCTCTACATAGCAATGAGGGAAAAATTGATCCAGATCTGGAGCAGAACTCTGCTAAGCGTCAAGAAGTCCTGCACCTTGGCAGTGTTTCAAATATTAAGTGATATTTTATTCCAACCATATGCCTGCTGTTCATAAAGCATTTTGTTTTTTTGTTTTTTCTTTAACTGTTTTCTGTGCAGCTCCACAAAGAGCCCAAGTTGGAAATCTTTTTTGGCAAAGAGCTGATGTCACAGGCCTTCTTTCTTTGATAACTGATCATGTAGTTATAAACCAAAACAAATGGTGGATAATGACAATGTCTCCCTTCCGAATAGAAAACTGACACATAGGAGATATTGGACAAAAAAAAAGCCCACTGCTGGGCGCAGATTGGCCAGATTAAATGCTGATGGCAGAAGCTGCCTCTCGGTAACGTGATGGCTACAAAGCTGGAACAGTTTGTTAAAGCCAAAGTGACCCACAGTCTGGCTTTCAGGTGACATCGGATCAGAGGCGCTCTGCAGGTGTTAAAAGCCTCGGAACATTGTGCTCTGCTCCATGAAAGGAGTCCTGCTTAAATAGCACCTTAATAACCTTAAAATAGTCCCTGTGTGGGGTTTCTGCTTGTAGCTCTTTCACAAGTCCTTGATTTCCATTGAAGTGATGTCATCACAGACAGTGGTCAGTTTGACAGTGACCACTGTTTGCTGCTCATGGTGAAGTAAACAGTGTTTAACAAAGTCTATTTGGACTAACAGAGCTGCACATTATACAAGACAAAGGAGTAGGTTAAAGATGGAATGTGTTCAAAGTTGACTTTTGTCTGTTTTCACTTCAATGAGTTTTAATCGCTATTCAGATACCTGCCTTCTTTTGTGTGAGTTTCGGCCAGCGTACCGCAGATTGACTCAGCATGCACAGATGTAGATGCCTAACGTCGGTCTGATGTTTGGCTTGCTGACTTCTGACGGTATCAGCAAAGAGGTTTTCTCATACTGCGTTCATTTTGCCCTGAAACTGGCAGATTAGCTAGCAAATTTGACCATATCCAATTAGTTGCATATCCATTGCATAACAGGCACTTCTGGTTATGCGCCCTGCTAAACGCTGATTCCTTCAGATAGTCTACTGCTTTGTTTTCCAAGATCAATGTTTGGGATAAGGGCTGGGCTGTGCCATCAGAGGCCCCATCTGTACACACTGAAAGGCCGGGCACAGACATGACAGTGGCTGCCTTTAGATCTTTCTGTGAAGCTTTCCCATCCAGAGAGCCGTAGGTAGCATTTGCCTCTTGCAGTTTCTCATACAAATGACTCATGGCTGGTCACAGTACTGCAAACCAAAGCAGATTAAGCAAACTGGCATGGCAGTTACATGTTTGGACCTCGTTTTAGGAAGTTACACATACTGTGGAAAGGAGATAATAATCTGGATATACGAGTCAGATGATCTCTCTCTCGGTTTTGCATCTCCTTAACAGCAGAACTACAAGGAAAGCATAGCAGTAGTTTAAAGATACCTTGTAGCTTTGAAACCTTTCAGTTGCAGTTTGTTACTGTGTCAAAAGAGAGTTCCTTAACTTTGAGCCTGATCCTGTGTGTGTGTTCAGGATTATTATAGGCCTGGCCTACAGGAATATCTACAGCCTTCATGGGGAATCATTTATCACATGCTAGAGGGTCAAACATGTAGCTTACACGGTGCCAGGGGATGATTTTTGCTAAGAACAGAAAGAGATGCATGTTTAAGATTAATATGATCTAATCTAAGGCATTTTACAAAATACTGAAGTCTTTTGTATCATTCCAGGAAGTGGAAGCCATGGTTTTGACATCTCTTTCCTGCACACTCCTATGTAGGTTTTGCAAGAAAAAATTGCATCAGAAAGTAACTCATGAGGCTGAATGACTGGGTTATTGTCAGGTGCTGCATGCACTCTGATCCTCTGATGTTCCAAACGATAGACTAACTCTATTAAACCTGAACTTGATTGCGGATTTAATCTGGAGCTTTGTGTCTTGTTGAAAAATGATCTTGTCTTAATCAGAATCTTCCCATAAATGGAATAGTCGCTTTCTAGCAAGATCTCTGAGTAACTTTGAATCTTTTATTCTGACGACATTTGGCCACGCACCAATGACATTCAAACAAATGGGAGCAGAGCTTTCCTTTCAATACTGGTTTCCCCTGTTTGGCTGTCTTTGCAGACTACAAACAAACGCTGCCGACCGAAATAGGCTGTGTTAAGCTGCCTTTATCGTGGTCTTTTGCTTTTGGCCCCACTCGCCGCAACCTGAACTTGTGCTACTGACTCTTCTATTTGTGTCACCTCACAGCATTTGCAGTATGACTAGGCTGCGTTCAGGCCGCACACCACATCCGTGTGATGCTTGCACTTTGTTGGACAGCTTCATGTTGTGGTCCTCAATAGTTTTGCTGCTGCAAATGTCCTAAATCCAACTTTGTATTAAATTGAAACCGAATTGTCTTTTTTTTCTCCCCTCCTTTTTTTTCCCCACTAGTGAATAGACATAACCACTTGAAGGACTTCATGCTGGTTGTGTCCATAGTCATCGGGATGGGTGGCTGCTGGTTCGCCTACATACAGAACCGCTACTCAAAGGACCACATGAAGAAGATGATGAAGGACCTGGAGGGACTGCAGAGAGCAGAGCAGAGTCTGCATGACCTACAACAGAAGTAAGGGTTTTTTCCACCACCCACACAACAAACTGTTGCACTGTGGAAGAACCGTACTGTTCTCTGCTTCATTTTCATACTCCCTCAAATGTCAGATTAAACTTGAGTCATTAATATACACTCCTTCTTTCTCAAGTTAAGTTTTTGCTACTTAAAATTTATTTAAACACTTAAATGAATAAATATTGAATTAGTAATAAATATTAACCATTCTTCGCTTGCCACTTTTAAACGTAACACTTCAAATATTCTCTGACTGACCCCCAGATTGCAACATTAAGCTGTTTAAGTTACCTTAAATAGCCTGTTTTATTTTTATGGTCAACCCAAGGACGTCCTCATTAGAATAAATCATGCAGCGTAAAGTCCTTTTTTTGTTTATTTGCATATACTCTTTGAATAAATCGTCCAAACCCAGAAAATCATCTCATGGATTATGATGGATCAAACAATTGGTGCTACAGAAGTGCCTATAATGAAAACCAGTACAGTCAGATTCATTATCTGTACCTGTTCTTTCTTTTTAAGTGGCGGTTTAAAGGATTTCAGCTTGTGTTGTGCATCTTAACCAGCAGTCTGCAGTGGCAACTCTTCGTCCAAAGAACTTTGTTTTGGGAATTTTGAACCAAAGCTGCTGATAGTGGAACGTTGTTGCTGATCAGAACAGCTCTTTCCAAGATCTGGATGGCTCAAAGAAATGCTACATCATTTGAATGCATCATAACTTTGTGTGTCCTCATAGAAAAATGTGGACCTGAACACATCTGCTGAAGGGAACTCGCACAAAGGGCACCTTTCGTGTGTCTCTCTGAGACCAAATTAGGTCCACGTGTTACATCACAAATGTAAAAGAAGCAGAGAACTTTTTTTAGCTCAAAACAAAGGCTTTTTTTGGCTGTCTGTGTCGTCCATAAATGAAATAAAGCATCCCATATACAGTCAAATATGTATATGCACTAAACTGTACCACCTCAAACAACTGTGGGGTTACACAACTAATCAAACTATTCTGGTTCTGTTATTACTTGAAGGAATTCTAAGAATGTGCTTCAAAGCATGAAGCATGCCCTGTTGCCTCTTCAAAAGATAATTGAACAATTATTTCACGCAGGCTATTTTTTTTTCTAAAGCTTTCAAGTGTGGGGAAAGTACCATAAAAGTCATTATTTATAATATAGCGACATTTGTCGATTTATTAAAGTCTGTTCATCTGCTATTTTTGGTACATCTTATTAAAACTGGCAGTTAGTGCAGGACATGCTCTGTATCCTGCCTTTACTACAGACTGACCTGACACAGTGGACACACGTTTTAATGGATACCTGTTGATTTATCCAAGCCATGTCCGTTTGAGAGACTGCCAGGTAAATCTGAGCACTGGTTTATATTTTGATCACTTTAACAAACACGTCTCCACCGTTTTAAAAGTGGGCATTGATGCATCTCCCCTGCTTGGCTAATGGCTCACACTTAATTCTCCTCTGCAGATCAAACTGGTACACTAGAGTACATTAACAAGCACGCACAGGTATTTAGTATGCCGAGCACATACCCTATCCTACCATGGCTGCCTGTAATACCTTGTTAGCTGCTGTTCTGGACAGTGTTTTGGTGCCTCACTGACCAGAGCAGACACTGCATTCTGCTCGTGTTCCTCAGATTTGGGCAGACGGTTCAGCATTGCAGTACAATTTGTCTGCAGCAATTTGGAACGACCGCATTTAAATCCTATCTGCAAGATATGGGATGCCTCTCTAGGAGTAGCTTGCATGTTATAAAGTAATTATATAATAAATGTATTATTTGAAATTCCTTTTCATTACAGTGAGGATTTTTATCCCTTGAACAGATGTCACTACTGCTCACAGTAGATCATTATGATGATCTGACTGTTTTCAGTCCAAATTATAAAACTATGCAACATCAGGGTCATATGCATGTGTTAGATTATTTTGGCTTTGGGAAAAGTTGCTTGCATCTTTTGGAGTGTAGAGAAAAGCGGTGTGTCGTCCGTTTGTGGCGGAGCCTTTCTTCCTGATCCCCACAGCCAGCTGCTCTCTTTCCATACCTTTACGCGGATCCTGTGGTGGTATCAAGTAGCTCGGAACAGACATGGTTTCCCCTGTCAGGAGGCAGTGGGCGGAGCAGGATTTCCTTGGTGGGTTTTACAACAGTTTGACACGGCCTGGGCCTCGCTGATGGTGATAAGCAGGACTGCTTAAGTTGTCACTGTTGTCCAAGAGGGCATCCTGGAAAATGACTTGCAACAAGGACATCATGTGCTAGACCTTCAGAAGTTAGCAGGCGTGCGACTTTAAGATTCAAACTAATTTAGATGTTAGCATTTCCTACCAAATGAGAGAAAATTCATATTTGCTCTGGTAGCAAACCTGGGTACTTTGATCAGCGTTAAGTGCTTTTTTTTTTTTTTTTTTAAACATGTGGCTCTGCCCATGCTTTGAAAGCTCAACTAGACTGTGGTGGAGGTCAGGGTCGAAAGCATTAGCTGGACTGCCAAGTAGCCACATTTTCCATAGCGAGTGTTCCGGATCGGCTTACATTTGTCTGTCCTTCTCTGCGTTTGTTTTCGGTGCAAGTGGGGGGCATGCTGCTCCCTAGTGACTGAAACACGCTCTCACCTTTGTGTTTACTAAAAAAAAAGAACTACTTTTCTCACACTTTAACTCTCTGGAGATAACTCCCCTCAAAATGAGCCAAATTATTATTAGATTATTGATTATCCTCTTAGATTAACCAACCAGAGCTGTTATGGTCTGGGTTGAGGTCCTTCTGAAGAGATCATTACTCCATGATGCCCCAGTGTCTGATTTATTTTTACAAGTGGATTAAAAAAATATTTTTTACATTTCTAGATACCACTTTTGGTTGGTGGACAATGTCATTTCACAGTTTTTGTCATTCTAAACTCATGTTTGCTAAAGAACAAACGTGAAATGCTGGGGGTTGCTTTTTGAAAAGAGGTTTGTGGCATGTGTAAAAATATCACGCTAGGAAACAGTACAACTGCACTGGACACTGCAGCGGCAGTGTGTATCACGCTGTAGTGTTCTAAGGTTACACACTGACAGCTGCTGCCATTCTTGGCAGGGCGCCCTCTGATGTTAGTTTATTGTGAACTGCCTAGCAGCTGACCACAGCTCTGCGCTTTCTTGTTGTTAGCCTTTGTTTTTCCGGTGATGTGTTTCTGAAGGAATGGCTGTATTCCACACATTAGTGCCACATGCTTGCTGTATAGGCGTTTAAATCATGCTTGCTACACATCTGTCCTCAGAAAACTACACTGACCAACCACCGAGGTTTCTTTTCTGAGCCTTAGAAAGCACACACTGATGGCTTCAAACTTAAACGAGATGATAACGGATTAGCCTTTTCTTCCCTTTTCTTTCGCCAGGCTGCAGATTGCCCAGGAGGAACACCGCACAGTCGAGGTAGAGAAGGTAAACCTGGAGCAGAAGCTGAGGGACGAGATAAATGCCGCTAAGCAAGAAGCCCAACGTCTGCGGGACCTCCGTGAAGGCACAGAGAATGAACTCAGTCGTCAAAAGTACGCAGAAGAGGAGCTGGAACAGGTTCGTACATGGAAATAAGCCAATACTACATCACTGAGGGGCCTAATGCCTCCAATATACAGTTATCTTGTAGTTAGTATCAAATACAGTCTTCTAATATTCAAGTTGTTTGTGGTAAGGTTGCAGTTACATAGACTTGCCTTATTTACCAGCTCAGATGACAGTATACATGTAATTGTTTTATTTTACACCTAAAGTGTGATGTCATTGCAGGTGCGCATGGCTCTGAAGAAAGCGGAGAAGGAGCTGGAGTCACGCAGTGGCTGGTCACCGCCAGAGTCTCTGCAGAAGTGGCTGCAGCTCACCCATGAGGTGGAGGTGCAGTACTACAACATCAAGAAGCAAAATGCTGAACGACAGCTCCTCATGGCCAAAGAAGGGGTAAACGTTTGAACTATAACTCAAAAGAAAAATCTTTCTCTCACTGAAACGTTTGGGCTGGTGTTTTGTTACTCAGCAGTGACTCCCAGACACACTTATTGACCCTCATTCCTTCATTTTTGTGAAAAGCAAAGAAAGCCAATCTTAGTTTCACATCACCTTGAATAAACAAAAGGTGATATTTAAAAAAAAAAAAAAGTGTAATTGAATGATTCCGTCACTTGGAAACAGATGATTAACTGGTTCTGTCCAGACAAACAGGAAAAATCCTTATAGATGTTTTCTGTTTATTGTTTACACTTTAGATAAAGAAGGACTGATACAGTCCACACAATTTTCTTGTTTGAAAAGTTTCTATACCATAAGGATGACATAATTTTGTTTCATCTCAGGCAGAGAAGATAAAGAAAAAGAGGAATACTCTGTTTGGGACTTTCCATGTGGCGCACAGCTCTTCCCTGGACGACGTGGACCACAAAATACTAGCAGCAAAGTGAGTCTCACTGTGATGCTGAAGCAGAATGCTGAAGAGATAGAACTTGGTTCACTTTTTTGTAAAATGAAAGGTCAATTTTTGCCTTCTTCATTCTACTTTTTTTTGTCGTCCCCACCCCTCTTCTTTAATGTTCCTAGACAAGCCCTGGGCGAGGTGACGGCTGCTCTGCGGGAGAGGCTGCATCGCTGGCAGCAGATAGAGATCCTGACGGGTTTTACCATCGTCAACAACCCGGGCCTGCCGTCCCTGGCCTCCGCCCTCAACCTGGATCCCAGCTTCATGGGCGGCAGAGCCACGCCGCAGCACTTTGTCATGTCTGACGACATGGACGACTTGGATGAGGGCATTTTGCCTGCCAGTCTGCAATGTAAGGGTTCACCTGAATCTGTGGGGACTAGCAAACGAATCCCTAAACAACCACAGACCCTGGTGGGGAAATCCAAAAGTCAGCCCACTTGAGAAATTTGGACGTTTCATGTAACGTTTACTTCAGTTTCTTTGTTTCCTTCCCTGCTTGTGGAGTAAGTGGGGACTCAAATTGTTTATCATTGAGTGAGTGTTGAATTTGTAAAATGTAAATTCAATTGTGTTGTATTTTTTTTTACATCCAGTTGAATGCTTTTTGTTTATCATTTCCTAGTTTAAAAAAAAAAAGATGTTTACTTAAGTCAATCATTGAGGCAGAAGACCTTAGGGCTCCACCTCTGGAAATTGATCTGTTAAGAAAAATATACTTCTACATGAGAACAATTTTCTTTTTATTCTTTTGCTTTTGTGAAGTGGTTGTGTCTTCATGTGTTACAAATATGTTAAATCAACCTTTGTCAAACTGCCTTAAGAAAGGAAATGTGCCAATTTAAACTAAATTGAAATACAACAGAATCCTTTAAAAAACTCAATTTCATTGCAGATTTACTGGCTGAACACATCTCATACACCTTAATGTCTAGAAAACCCCAGTAAGGTTTAGTCGCCCTGTCCTGCCTCCACAATATATTAGACTAATTATAGTATCCCAAAATGACACATTAGGTTTAGCTCGAACTTTCACTTCAAGAATTTTTTTGTAGCAGGAATACAAAGTGAGCCTCTTAATCAACATTAATTGCTCCCCCTATCTCACTCCCCTCCCTCCCTCCACCAACTGTCTGCCGTTTGGCTCCCGGCACTGTCTCATTGGCCGATCTACAGATGGCATTCCACAGCTGGAGCGACGAGCCAGTGACCTGTGGTCCATTTCTTCAGACTGCCAGCCCATGTGGAAATACCCTGGTTGGCTTTCTTATGGTGCCCCAGTTTGGTCCTCAGTTTGTCTCTCTCTTCGACTAAAAAACAAAACTTCACAGAGCTATTGTTCTTTTTAACCGGCAGTAGGCTGCGGATGAACACAGCTGAAAAGGAAAGGAAACTTTTCCATGCTGGGTTCATCCACACACTCCTCTTATCTTACCCTGGTGCGTCCCGGTCCCCTCGTTGTTATGCTATCACCACCCAGAGCACCTTTCGCTTTCTTCCTACTCTGGTTTTCTCCCTTTGCCTTGAATTCAGAACAGCATTTACCATTCATAGAAGGTTCAAATTATTCCCTCTCGTTTATTTCCTGCGACTGAAAACAAATGTAAGTTGAGTTGGGTTTAATCCTTCCCCCGTCGTTAGGAGGAGAGATGGATATGCATCAATGGTGTATAGATCAAGATAAATGTGTCCAAGCATGTGACTATCTTTCCACTAATCACCTCCTGGTCTGGCTTTAAGTGTTAAGAGCTTGATCCGTGACTGGCTGTTGATAATGCTGTCGTTTTTCGCCAACAGCTCCCAGTATGATGTCCCTGCGCCAACGCCACATTGACCCCCAGTTGGCCATGGGCTCCCAGAGGTTGGTTGAGACTTCCCTGCTTGCTGGGCAGCAGGGCGAGGGTATTTCCTACCCGTCCAGGCCCAAGGCCACCTTCAGGCAGTCGCGCAGCCATTCATTCGGACAGCTGGATTGTCTTCCTCTTCCCCCTCTTTCCTCAGCCGTTTCCCACCCTTCCGTCATCTGCACCTCCAACCCAAAGCCTCCGTCCGTGCCGCCCCTCTCGTTCTCCTCCTCCTGCCTGCCCAGCTCCGTAGCTGGTGGAGCTCATTCCTCCCATTCATACCATGCCTCTTTCCAGCCCATGGACCCCATTTTTGATTTGTCCTTCTCAGACGTCTCTAAAGTTCCTTCTCAGTGCAGCGACGGTTTCGGGTACTCGTCTCTTTATACACACTCTGCATGTGTGTGGGCGTGTCGAGTTTTGAACGCTTGTGGCCTGACTACCTCCTTTCACTTCCATTTCCATCGTCACGTCATTTCAACTCTCATGCCGTTGCAACCTGAACAGCATTGGCAGCTTTTCATCCTCTCACAGTGCGGCTGTTCTCTTATTCTTCAACTAACAAATAAAAGCTTCCAGGCTGCGGTTGGCATATTTGTAGCTTTACAGGCATTGTGCAGAGAAGCCCAAGCATGCAAGAGTTCCGCTTTGAATTTTAAACGGTCTCTCTGTTCCCCTCAATTCATCTAATTTGTGTCTGTTTTTCTTTCTTTTTTTTTGTTGTTGTTTCACCACCACAGGGACCTAAATCGCTCCGACTCCGACTCCTCACTGTCTCTCTCCCAAGTTGGTGACCGGCTGTCTGCCTACAGCTCCAAAGGCCACCTGGTCAAACCCAGCTCTTTCATTTACGGGCTGCCCTGCCGGTCAGAAGACGCCGTCTCACTGTACGCCCAGACCCCCAACGGAGGGAACCGCTTTTACGAGGGGGGACCCCCGGAGCCCGTCTCCGACAGCCCCATCCTCATGAAGGAGATCTACGGCATGGAGAAGTCTCCCAGCATGGGCGAGATCAACAGCCTGTCAGAGTCGTCCAGATCCTTCAGTCCAAACTCCACCGAGCCAGAAACGCCGTCGCCCACAGGGGCGGCCGGGGCCAAAGGCAGCAGCCGCATCCCACAGCTGTCCTCCAAGAAGAGCCCTCTGGAGGAAGACAGCGGCTCAACGGGAGAAGACACGGATTCAACCGCCAGCCGCAAGAAACACACCTTCAAGATCTTCAAGAAACAAAAAAAATAGGACTCCACGTGAACTCAAGGCTATCGAAGCTGTTCGACTATATTCCTCTGTCTGGTCTGCTGTTGTTTTTGTTGGTTTTTTCCTTTAGTTTCGGGGGTTCATTTGTGGTCGAATGATGGCATATTTTGTTGCCATCGCATCTTTTTGTAGGTCCCAACACCTACCGTGAGAATCTGGGAGCAACCAGCCGTTTGACTCTTTCTGCTTTTTCGGTCAATGTTAAATAGTCTGTGAGTGGGGAGGTTTGTATATCGGAATGTTAAGTATTATTTATCCCTGCAGGAAATTGTGCCGTCTGATTGGAAAATTCCTCTCGGTTTTTCTTTCTCGTTCGACAATCTATGACATTTTGCATGTCCTCTCTTTTATTTTGACTGATACTCGAATGCTCTCAGTGTTTGCTTGGTTCTTGTTGCTTATCTGCTTAGAAAACACTTGTCGTTACTTTGATCACTAAATAACCACCTATCCTACAAACCCAAAGTGAATGCGCACTTCTTTTTTTTTTTCTCTTTACTGGGTACAAGCTTTTCTGTCCTCTGTTGTCTTGTAGGAAGTGTAAACATTTAGTGGAATTGTGTGATTGAAAGCAGTGGTGGCTTGGAGACTTTGACCATCTAAAAAATGTTAGTGTATTAAAAAAGTATCTAATGGATGTCCCAAAAAGTGACTGAATTGGATTAAACCCAAATAGCACATCTCATGATGTCATAAATGGACAATCAAAATGGAACATTTCCCCCCTTTTCCTTTGAGTTTTTAATGTTAAAGGCTCAGTAAATGCGACTGTGTGAGCTTTGGCATGTTCCCTCTGCTAATAGGTCCAGCTTCGTCCATCCTAGTTAATTTCATAATTAACCGTAACGCTATTTCTTGGGAAATATGTAACTTCAATAGATAAGAGGAAAGTACAAGGGATTTCACAACATCTACCAAACACATTCGATGTGAAAAACCTGACTTATAGTTTTTTTTCTTTCTTTAAAAAAAAAAAAAAAAAATCTCAGTTTCTCATTTAATAGTTGGTAAACAGGGTTATCGGATTTTAAGTCTCAGTAAAGCCAAGATGAATATCTTCCATTGTCACGTCGCACAAAATGCAGTCCAATCAAACACAAATGAGAGGACATGAACTTCAGTTTTAAAAAATATAAGAAAATGAGTTGTGGTGATGACAAATCTAAGCGCACATTAATCGAATGGGACACGTGGGGCGAGCAGAGTGCATTAATTTAAAAATAAACCAAAGTGCTAATGCTCATTTCACTTATTAGTTCCGGATTCTTTCTGGAGATGGGCTCAGTTTTACAATGTCTGTTGCTTACTGGAGACAGTATTAATATAGTTATTAAAAAAGAGCCTGTCATTAAAACTGTCCTGAAAGTTACTAAAAGGAGGTGGTGATACTCAACAAAACAGTGTGACATCCACTTATTGTAACTTTGCTTCTAAGAGGTGCGGTGTTGGTTTTGTGATTAGATCCAGTGAGTATGTGTGAACACAGTGTTCTAACAGACCACAACACGATTATTGGCCTTTAATTCCAGGAATAAATCACATTCTCTGAGCTGGGTGCTGCCCCTGCAGGAACTTTTGCTCTGCATTTATCGTCTATTTAATTCTTAACTAAATATATAAAAATATTCATTATAGTAATTAGGGTGCTTTTTTTCTTTTTGTTTCTTTTTTATTTATTTTTTTACATTTACATTCACAATTATAAGTACTTGTATTTTAAATATTTTGGGACAGGATTGTTTTTTTTAATCTTTTCTCCTCTTTTGTTCCATTTTTGAATCCCCATTTCAAACGTACCATGGAGCTTGAACTAAAAACTGTTAGGCAACAATTCCCAGTCCTTGAAGAAGCTCTGGTTTATTGTTTATCCATGCAGATATTTGTATTTGTTTTACTTGGACTTAAACTAACTGGCTTCTGCTATCTTGCACGTCTTTATGTTTGTTCTCTTTAAGACAGGCGCGCTGCGCTGCAGATGGTGGCGAGGAACAGGTGTTTGTAAGGGCTAATGTTACAAGAACAATAATTTGCTTGGTTTAAGATAAAAAAGGTTCAAGCTCTAACCACTTAAGGTCAGACTTTTATGAAAGACTTTGCTCGGCAAGTCTCGGAGGTAAAAGACCAGTTGCGTAAAAGTGCCAAATTCCTATTTCTGCCAGAGGCCTTTGTATATGTGGTGTGTTCAAAATAGTTGAGCTCCTTTTACTTAGGACACAGATCTGCACGATGTATACGGTACTGTATATGTGGAGTTTAAATTCTGAATGTCCATAGGCATTGTTCCCGTAACGGTATCATCGGTGCAGTATGTTTACATTTGTTACGGAAAGCGATCCTCAGACGATTACAAAGAATCTTGTGCCAGTTTCAATGTCGGTTGCTTGGTTTAAGCACAGAACTATGCATCAGTAGTCGTAGATTTCTGAAGTGGTAGGGATGCCAGTACTCTTAGGGTGCTCCTGATGAATGAACAACCAAAAAGTGCTGCAGAAGACACCGTCCGTCTCCCCCAGCCTCAAAATGTAACAGGTATCTGGATGTATAAGACGTTTTAGTATTTTGTTTAAGGAGCCAGCCGAAAGATATACATTTCCTACTGGTACTTTTTTAAAAATGTCATTTGTACCTCTTTTGCACGACAGCTGTAAATTGTTAACGCCATCTGACGGTATGAGTGTACTCTGTGTGTGGGTATGTGTGTCCGTCTGCTCCCTGTATATTAATGCACTGTAACGTTGATGCATGTCGACTTTCAAAACGAAACCTATATTGGGTTAAAGAGTGGATCAGCTAAGTCCCTACACAATTTCTCTCCTCTTCATTTTGAGCTTATATTTATGAATACATGCAGTATATTTGTACAGAGAAAATGATCATTTTGCATCTACTGTGGTGGTCTAGACTTTGATGGCACTCCTGCATGATAGCAATAAACTATTTTGAATGAAAAACAAAATGAGTCTTTTTTTTTTTGCTCTTTATATACATGCACAACTTGTCCCTTGGGAAGGAACAAAATCTCTTACCTTCTTTAGTGTAAACATGCAAAAATTGCAGCATATTTCAAAAGGTAGCCCCTAAAGAAAGACTTCTGATGCTAACATGTTCTTAGCCTTTGCCATTATTTTACCAGGTTCCTCCCTGTCTATACCTAACTTGGAGAAGGTGTGTCCTAATAAATATTTACTTTGTACTCAGAGCTGAGATGTAACAGGACGTGATCCGGATGTTATAGGCTCTATGTTTGACTGTTCTGCTGAGAGCCCTCCATGGAAAGACGAATAAAAGCCCTTTTCATAAGATGGATTTTAATACAGAATACAAATATATCTTCCCGCTTTGCCTATGCATGCAGGTAGGAGCTGCTTTATCTGCTTTACACACTGTTTCTTTTTTACAGATTTAGAATATTTGCATGTCTTTGTCACACACAGATTGCTTGGGGTTTAGATGACGTGAGGCTTCTAAATCCTCCAACGGAAGCTTTGCCAGTCCATCTACTGGGAGTGCTTTACTCGTGTGAAGGACCGGCCACGGTACAGCTGGACTGCGTCTTATCTTTTGAAACGGGCAGAATCTCCACAGTGTTGCTCAGACAATGGACTTGTCTCCCTGGTGACCCCAGAATAAGGACCGTGAGGCTGAACCTGCCAGACTGGTTGGTGTATCAAGCAGATGGAATAGTTCCAGACTCTCCCCCGGTGCTGAGTTGTATCCTTCGAGCTTCAGTCAGATATGGTAGATTAGATGATTCTGAGATGTCTGTGGCGGCTCAGGATGTAACGGCTTTGCAGCCCAGGCCCTTCTTCAGTCGGCCCGTTAAACAGCACCAGCTCTGTGTTGCCTGGGGCAAACAAATGCTGCAACTGAATCAGCACTTTTTAAAGAAACGGTGCCCCGTTGAGAAAGGTAATCTATGAGAAGTGAGCCCGGAGCTACATAAGAATCCACTTAAATGAAATAAAGTGTAAAATTGAGCTTCGTTTGAGATCAAAATCCCCACAAATGGTTGATATTGTATAAGATTTGTACCAGAAAAGCCTGTTATGGCTAAACACTTCTCCTGTCATGCAGAAACTGTGAAGGTCCTGTCCACAATTTACGCCTCAACAGGGGAAAACCATGGCATCACAACTACATTTGAGCCCTTTAGGAATGAGCTTCTGGAATACCTGCGACTTAAAGCTATCTCTTTTCCATGGTATGAAAGGCACATATACTGCACAGATATATATTTTTTACTCTACTATAGCAGGTAAACAACAGCTTTTTAATGATGCATTTTTCCAGGTGTGCACTCTCAATATGGATCTTTTTGACCAGGCATTGCCAGGGACGCCTGTGTGGTGTGTTTCATCATATCAATTCCCACAATAACTATGTCACACCGACACTTCTCCTCACAGACTCAGGTATGACTAAGACCTTTTTCCCCAACCTTTAACATGTTCCTGCTATTACCTTGTGTTAAATTCCCATTTACCTCATAAATACAGGCCAGCTCCATCTACAGATAAATGGAGAATCTGAGGAATCCTCTGCTTTCCTCTCCCCGTTCACTGTACCTCAACATGAGTGGTGTCAAATTGGTGTGATGTTCCAAGGCAGAACAGTGAGTTTTCTGATATTGACATAGGGTATAATTCAATATCTGCTTTTCGGTGGAAATAAATAAACATTTATCACTGCATCTCAGGTGACGGTCTCTATGGCATGCATGGAAAAAGAACAAATAACAGTTACATTCACAGAACGTGTGTAAGTCTGCTTTTTCACACGACTAAGACATAAAAACCGTATCATAAAGTTTATCTTTAAACACGCTGTCTTTTTGGTGCAGGCACACTGTTCTGCTGGATGACACAGAGGGATATTTTGTAGTTGGTGGAGGGAAATTTATCCACGGTGTGGAAGGATATGTGGGCCCTGTGGTCTATTACCGAAACAGAGCATCCCTCCACTTCATGGTGAGAACGCTGGTTCCTCTGATGTACTCCCGATTTAATGTGTTCAACCACTTTTAACCATGTGATTTTTTTCACTAGTCTGAAGCTCTTCCAGATGTTATTAGGAACGTGAACTTGACGGGTTGGATGCAGACCTGTCAGGAATTTCAACATGAGATGAAAGACAAGATCGGTGGCTTTTCACTGAAGGCCAGACAGGAGACGGACTCTGGTAATGGGCCATCATCACCACTAGATGGTGGTAAAATGATTCTTTAAAAATGAAATGATGAACCTTCCAGAGCAGTGACTGGTTTGCTTTTTTTTTTTTTCAGAGACTTGTTTTGATGCTTTCCATAAGTGGGTGGTAAAGGAGAGAGCAACACGTCGACACTGTGAGCTGTGGGAGGAAACCGTCCCTGTCAGAACACAAGCTGCCAAACTGGCCGAGTTATTAGTTTTCAAACATGGTAAGGAGTGCAGTACAAAAAAACAACTGAAAACGGCCTATTAAACGGCTAAAATTAGCTTTGGATCTTCATTCCTGCTCGATTCCTACAACTAGAACAAACCTTATAAAATTTTCATGTAGAAACGTTGAATTCCCTGCCTTGCAGGAGGAAGAGCGGTCAGCCTGCCAGCTGTGGGCAGAGCCCTGTTCACTTTATCACTTCACAAGCTGGGCAAAGACAGCAGCACTGCAGTGGTCAGCAGGATTTTACCGCTGCTGCTCCAAGCTGGCTGTCTGGGTCACAACCGAGCTCTGCACATGTCCTCTGTGTTCCTCAGCGCTGGACTGGGAGTCCGAAAACAGCCTCATAAGGTATCTTTCACCGGTCAGCCTGGGCTTTGGCGTGCCAGTAGTAGTGTCCAGTTTCATGCTACGTGGTTCTGTGTTCTGTGACGCAGGCGTGGCTTCTCGCCCTGCTGGCCGCCCAGAGGGATGACCGGCTGGCTCTTCTGCATCTGGGTCACCTGCACCACCGGGGACTACACGGCCTCCCCACAGATCCAGATCTGGCCTACGCCTATTATTCCAACATTGCAAGACAGACAACGCTAGACCGTGAAAATCCCACACCGCAGCAGGTAATGTTTGTTTCTGATGGTCTTATTGCCCAGTGGTTTCCAGATGACCATCACCAATAAGTTTTCCTTGTGATAATGATGGTGTTCATATCATGTCTCCATGATCATGGAGACATGAAGCATGACTACTTTGAGGTGTTTTTGTAAAGAAAAAGAACATTTCTGACCATTAATGTCTGTTTTTTTTGCAGATATTTGTTGAAGCAGTTTACTTGAACAACGATGAAGTGTTGATGCTTCAAACCAGTAAAGATCATCACATCTTCCAGTGGCTTAAACTGCAGGCCAGCAGAGGAGCAGCTGAGGCCGAGGTGCTTATGGCTCATAAATTTGCTGATTCAGTCTCTTGGGACCATGTAACCCTTTGCAGATCTCCTTATTCTACTTGCTGTCTTTGTCTGTGGCTGCAGGCTTGAGCTCATTACGGTTTGAACCTGATCAGACACCATCCAGGTCTAACCCAGCATGTTTACAGCATCCCAAAACAGGGCCGACAGCAAGAAGAAGCATCCGTTATTCTTCTTTTCCAGCTGACACTCGTGCCTGAATTTTCCTCTGGCTCTTAAGGGAACAGACTCCCTTTTGTAGGAGGTGCATCTCATCCTTTTTTCATCCACTGCATCTCAGTTGCCAGAGTGCCAGATTACTCATAGAAGAGTGAATCATCTATTTTTGACCTGTTTTAACCTGCACGTATTACTTAAAGAGCACTTAAAGAGCACCAGAGATCACTGGTTTCTTCACACCACTGCTGAACAGGTTGGCCAGCACATCTTGAACCCCCCCCCCTCCATCTGGAATGACATCTCTGCCCCTGGGACAGGTTTCTTTGCCCTGCGTTTCTTTGCCAACGTTTAGCGACATTATGAAGCCGCCTCATCTGTTTCCATGTGTCACCTCATATTTTCTTTATTCCACCTAATCCAAAGTTTTAAAGACAGCAAAACAGCAAAAAAGTGTGAAAATCTTAGGTATTCAGTGTATTTTTAAACATCAAAAATCACTTAATTCAAAGCTCACATTCTACCGGTTTAAATTGCATGCAAATCATGTGTTTATGTCTAATGCTAAATTCATTTGGATTTTTCTAAACAAGTTTACCTGTTTTGGCAGAAAATTGTAGTTAGCTAAATTTTCTCAAAATGAGATTAGGATTAAAAAATCCGCAATTGTCTTACAGCAAACTCTTGCACGCATGCTGTTCTGGGGTCAGCAAGGGTTGTCTCCCAACGTGGATGAGGCCGTGAGGCACTACAGGAGGGCAGCTGTCCAGCTGGGAGACCCAGTGTCCATGTACGACTACGGGATCTTACTTCTGCAGGTCAGATTTTCATCTAAAACGACCACAACGTCATTTTTACTTGCCATGCCAAAACCTCTTCCTTTGCTGTAAGATTCCGTTTACATCTGCTTTTAATAAATTGAAACATTTTCCACTTTAGGGGCACGGTGTCGAGAAGGACATTCCAAAAGCTGTCTATTTCCTGAAGAAAGCTATGGAAAAGGTTCAGCATCAACATACAGTTTGAGGGTTGTTTGTCATCCACACTAAAGCATAACGCGTCTCCTTTTTTGTGGCAAACGTCTAATCTCTAGGATTTTGTTCCGGCCATCAACGCCCTTGCTTGGTACTATGAAAAGTTTGAACGTGACTATGAGACGGCGGTGCAGCTTTGGGAAAAAGCCGATCTCCTCCAGAGTCCAGACGCTGCTCTGAATCTCGGTGTCATGCACTCACTGGGTCTGTATCCGGGGAAACCTGCCAACCAGGTTAGCACAACAAAGAAAAACACGAGAAAATGTTCACGAAGACACTGCTTTTTGTTCTGACTGTTGGAAATATGTTTTTCCTCTCCACAGTACGTGGCCTATCAGTATTATCTGAAGTCTGCAGACAGAGGACACCTCAGGGGGGCCGTTTACCTCGCTGACTTCTGGACCACCGGGATACCTGGCTATGTCAACAGACGCCCATCAGATGCAGTTTTGTCAGCTAATAACACATTTTTTTAACATTTCAATTCATTTATATATCGTCTTTTGCCTTAGTTTTGATACTTTTTTGTGATCATTTACAGGTGGGTTAAATGGGCGTCTGAGCACAACGGATACCTGGGAAGCATCCTACGGAAAGCCTTGGATTCTTATCTCCAGAATGACATGTATGAATATGTTTTTCCCTTTTCTCTACTGACACAAACCTGATCAGACCCCGAAGCAGCAGCTGCATCAAACTTACACTTGAGCTCACCTGCAGGTTCCTTTCTCTGGTGTATTACATGATGGCGGCTGAAGCCGGGTACACACCTGCACAGTTCAATGCGGCGTACCTTTGTGAACAAAACACGGTGAGTTACAGGATACAACGCTGCAATATCTCTCTAATGGCTTTAGCAATATTGTCAAAATCATTATTTATTCACTCTACAACTCCGACAGGGAGATTTTCTTGATCCAGTCCATAGATCACGCTGTATGTGGAGATATTACAACCTCACAATCCAAAGTGAGAACTCCCAAACTTACGGTGGGTGACTACATCTGAATGACCTAAATACTAGATTTGTGTGTGTAAAACAGGTTTTAATTGACATCTAATTTTTCATTATTTCTTCAGCCTTCATTAAAATGGGAGACCTCTTGTATGAAGGTTACGATGGCCGGCCAAAAGACTTGTTTTCTGCAGCACAGATGTACACGTCGGCAGCTACAAGGCAGGATCCACAGGTCCTCCAGGCAGATTTTTCTATTCCCACGTTTGGATTGTCACAATACTTCTTTGTAGGTCATGTTTCTCATTTCACACAGGGATGGTATAACCTTGGCCTGCTTGCTGAGGAGGGCTACAGGCTGCCTCTGTCTGTATTGATTGGACTTGGTCTGTCAGAGTTCCACCTCAAGGACAACCGTTTACTTCTAAATGCTTTGTACGAAAGGTACGCTTCTGAAAGAATCGTCTATGTTTGTAGTGTATTATAGTGATGGGAATAATTTCTTCAAACTGTTGTACAGTTCCACGAAATAAACATCTGATTTTTCTTTGTAAAAAAGATGCAGGGACTCAGATGACCCGGACTCATACTTACCTTGCAGCCTTGCTCTCTTCAATGTGTTTCTCCGGTCATTCCAAAAGGAATTTATCGCCACGTTTAAGGTTCGTACGATGAGCCAGTCAATGTAAAGTTCCAAAGTTCCAATGTAATAACTCCTTGTCATTCATATATATTGATCCGTGGATTACTTTTCTAAATCAGTACCAATATGTTCTTTCAGTTATTCTTTTCCAAGACCACCTTATTACTTATTACTTGTATCACCTTATTACATGTTACTAAGGTATTCAAGACTTGCTGCTGTTAAATGAAAAAAAAGCTAATATTTTTCTGAAAAAATCAAATGTCTGTTTGTTACCATTTGATTTTTTTTAGTCGACTGAATTGCATTTTGGCTCATGAGTGTTCAGCAGGCATGTCAGTTCTCACAACGCTGTGCTGTTTTGTTTAAATTGTCTGTGGGATTTGTCCTTAGGTTTCTTCTGCTGTTGCTTTGGTCGTGGCTCCAACAATCTTCATAACCGTCCTTGTTGTGCTCAGAAGACGGGTCTTTTCTCTCAACTAGAACCAAAGTATTTGACGAGAGTAAAACAAAAGAAGCAAATAGCACATTTATGTAAAAAAAAAATTGTGATGGGTTTGTGACCCATTGATTGTATGAATTAGTATTTTGTCAAATATATTGTACTTATCCGTGAATATTACATCAATTGTGAGATTTTTTTTTTGTAAAAGAAAAAAAAACAAAGGTCTACCATCACATGCAGACACCACTGTAGAGTGTGTTGGTGTGTTGTGGGTTTGCCTTCATTAAGTTTCTGCACATATTCTCAATTGTTCCTGGGCATCAATGTGCTTTGTATGGAATTCTGATGTTGTACTTGAAATATTGCTTTGGCTGTTTGTTCTTGTTCTTTTTCCTTAATAAATAAAAGGCTGTCATTGGGTAAATGGCACAATGTTCTTGTTGTCTTGTGATTTAATCACTCATATTGTTCACATTTCGTTATGCTTTTTTATTGATAAATACTTTTGCTTCCATTTGGAAAAAACTAAGTGTTCACAAATAATTTGAGCTTTAATTAAATGTCTATGTAGGTTCATACATTTATCACTATTGGCTTAATTTTTTGCTGGTGTTGAAGTATCACCAAATTGTGTTTTTTTATTTTTCATTTTTATTCCAAGCAGTGACTGTGTGAAATTGAGTGGTGATGTTGGCATATGACTAATGTTCCTTTTGGAAAGCAGCCTGTAGTCAGCAGGGCGACTGTCCTTCAGCTGAACACCAGAGTTCAAATCTCTGTGTCAGCTCGTATTTTTGTTGGAGTTTGCGAAATTTAGAAACTCTCGAGGGATTCTGCTATCCTGTTGGCCTGCAGTCTGATCTTCACACAACCGAAGGGAAGCAATGAAGTTAATTACGCCTGACAAGCAACTAACTGTTAGTGTAAAGAAGTCAACAGCTTCAGAAATGCCACAGAAGTAGCTCATCCAGTTTGTCCATCCTCCATTAAGCTGTGATGTTAGCTATGATTTTTAGGTAAATACAAATAAGAAGATAAAAAAACAGAACAAAATTGATTTGTACTTATGTGGAATGTTTTGTGCTCATATTCTAACACAGAAGAATACTGGGGACAAACTTTTTGTTATTTGAATGTGAAAGATTTTCTAGTGCCTTGTACTTAGAAAGCACATCAGCATGTTGTCCAGAACTACAATAGCATTCTTCAGAGATTGTGATTTAAGTGCATTGCTTCTAAGCTAAGGGCTCCAAGATCAAACGCTGAAAGGCTTGCAGAAGTAAGCAGGAAAAGTAAACGGTACCGGCGAGAGGATTTGAAATGAAATCAGTTTATGCTCTCATTCTTTCCAAGATTGCAACTCCTGACAATTTACATTATCACTGCAATCTGTCTGCTTTCCTTTTGCTTCTCATTACCATCTGCTGGTTTCCTCTGTTTTGTCCTTTTCCCCTCTGTATCCTCGCCTTTCTTTTTTTTCTCTCCTCTTCCCAGCCGCTGCCTGTATCTTTGCAGAGGGACCTACTTGTCTGGTGGAAGCGAGGAGAGCTGTAGCAGTCATGTCTGTGTGGCCGAGGCAATGAGAAGACGCTCACTGAGAGGGCACCATGAGCTCCAGTCCTCTGTAGGATATTCACCGTGAACTCAACACAGGCTGAAGTTACAGCACAGGTATCTCCTATGTGTGTGTGCGTTTGATTGTTTGAATGTGAATCTTTTTTTTTATATGTAGTACATTTTCAAGATGTGAGATGACCACATTTGTGGGAAAATGAGGGATTGTGCTATGAGAAGTTTATGTAAATCCTTCCTTTGAGTGTCTGAAATCTCGATGTACTGTATGAATGTATAACTTTAGCTGTAGCACTCTGTATTAACTACTTTAAGGTGCTCTTCTGTAAACATACCAGTAGCTAAGATGTTCAAATGAAAAGAAGCTCTTTCTTTGGTAGAAAAATTTGAATATAAATAAGTGCATACATAACTTATATTCTACTGACTAATATCATCATATTATATTGATTGTGTTCTGCTTGTGGAGGTTTGCTGAAACAATGGGAAAATGAATGATAACACTTGGTATATTTATCTTACAGAGTTCATAAGAGGTCTATAAGGAGAACTCAAACATCTCAAAATGAGACGTTGTTTGACATTGTTTTAAATATTTTTCTTAATCAACCAAATCTATAAGTTGCGACTTAAATGGAAATGTCTTTCAGCTATACATCTGAACACTTTGTTTTTTTTTGTGCCTTTTCCAAGAATTTGAGGGTGCCATGGCTATGCGCGACTGGATCCCAGTGGGATGCAGGTTAACACCAGTGGGTGTGCTGTTTTCCGCTTTTCATCTCCTCATTCTCTGTGGTCACATACTGGATGCCCATGGTCAAGGTAAAAAAGAAATCTTTTCATTCTGTGCTTTCTCTTGGTTTTACAGAGAGGATGCACCGAGTGCCTTTCTACTATTGTCCACAAAACTGTGCAGTCACTCATTCTTCTCCAGTTTCTCAAACTGCTTCATTTTGCTCCTTAAGCTGTAATCTTTGCATAGTTAGATTAATGTTACCTTAACTTCTACAATGCAACCACATAGTTGAAGTTTGATGTGTATTTATTTCCAAAAACGGAAAGCAAAACAACATATTTAGAGTTTTACTTTATTTTCAAAGAAACTTTTTTCTACGATCACTGAAACTGGTGGACTTCATGTTGTTTGTGAGATGTAGTTATGACTTCATCTATGAGACTAGGATTTCTCTTCAGATTTCTCTTCTTTAGGTCATGCTGATACAAAGCAATAGTTATGTTAAAAGGTAACAACATTACTGTGATCGAAAGTACAGCAATGGCTACATTTAGGTGAACACGAGTTGTTTTAAGGTTATTTATACCTGTGTCTTTTATTATTAATAAATAAATAAGATAATACCTAAAGCTGACACGTTACATAAAAGGACCCTTTGGATTCCCATTGTTGCTTTTCTTCAGTCCCCTTTGCAACTAGTTTGCAAAAGTTTATTTTGAATATAATATTTTGTAATGTTTTAGTGGAAAAGTTTTGGTATGGTCTTATTATAGTTTGTGAAGTAGTCATTGAAACTACTAATACAGCAAAATGGGTTAGTTTGAGTTGAATAAGTACATTACTAGATAACTTGGGTCAGCTGCGCAACTCATATAATATACAATATTACTGTCTGTAATTTATACAGGAAGCTATGGTTTTGACTGGATGTAATTCTCATATACATGGCAGGCAAGGCCGGCGTGCCCTCTGCTGTCAGAGAACTCCACTGGCCTCCATCCCTCCCTGTGACAAGCTTTATTTATAGCTCGGCAATAACTGCAACAGTAACGCAATGAGCTAAAGTCCCGAGCGCACACGCTGCACACTAATGCCAACTTTCAGGGTGGTAAGGGGCATCAACAAGGTTAATGTAGAAGAATTGAGTGTTGTGTTTTCTGCCTCTCTGATTAATGGACGTCTGTGGTGGCACATGTCAGACTGAATCGTCCTGGAAGAAAGTAGGCACAGTGCCAGACAATGAGAAGATTATCTCAGTCCTGCTGTAAGGAATACATATCTATATTTAACCCTACATTTGGAAAGACCAGTTTAGATTTTCTAAATCAGTGTTTTCTTTTATCAGTCACATAGTCACATTCACTTGTCCCATAAATAAAGTAATATTGATTTATTTACTGCCCCAAATGTCTCGACCTTTGTCTTGGTTGTCTGCTTCTACAACTTCTGACGAGGACGTGATATTTTTTACAGAACAGTGTTCTGCGTGCTTGCAGTTTAGCCAGAAGCAAGTAGTGTAACTTATATAAAAATATGAAAAACATAGCTAATGTAAAAGTGAGACTGAACTGTGGTATGGTGGTTAGCACTGTGCTTTTCAGTGAAAACATTCCTTGTTTGAATCATGATGGTAATGCGTTTGTGTGTGAGATTAATTCAAGGTTTTAAATTAAATTGTCAGAAGGACTGAATGTGAGCGTGCACACTCAGGCCAAACAGGGTTGTATGTTGGTCTATATCTCGCTTTAACATGTGATGAACTGGTGACTCACCCATGATGTTTTCACCTTTTGCCCATGGACTCTTCCTCTTTGATTTTACATGTAGGATTTTGTCAGTGAACTATCATAATGTTTCAGTAAGTGGACAACATTAATCTGTTGATTTTGCCTGTAGTATCAAAAGTAAACTAAAGAAACTCTAGAACTGAGTCAACTAGATTCAACAGTTAAACTTTTAATACAGGCTCACTATTTAATAAAGAGTTGAAACTGTGGCCAAAGAGGCAGATCACCACTACTATTACTACTGAAATTTTTTAACTTTTCCCACTTTGGCGGATTTCAGTCACACTCTGTGTCTGAACACTCTGCCCATTGGGATGATGTCTGGTGAAAAGGTACCCTCATGAAATACATTTTAATGTTAATGTGTGGTATGTTTATATTATGATCTTTATTTCCTGAATACATTAAATTTGCCTAATTTTCTCCACTTAAAACCACTTTGCATTGTAATTGGCTATCAGCAAATAATGGTAGTGCGTTACACCGTATACTGTTGGTTTGTGTTT